AGCCTTGTTCCGAATAAACTAGAAAGTTCACTCGGAACAGCCATGCACCACTAATCACCAAATCGAGAAAGAGCTTTCAATCTGTCAGTCCTAATAGTGTCCGGACCGGATAGTGTTGAGTCAAATCAAGCCGTAAGCTCCACGCCTTGTGGTGCCCTTCCGTCAATTTCTTTAAGTTTCAGCTTTGCAACCATACTTTGCTTCTCGAAAAGGTGAACCTCTTCAAAATGCTGGATGGCATAGTTAACAGTCAGAACTAGGGCGGTATCGCCTTCGAACCTCTGACTTAAGTTCTTAATTAATGAAGACATTCTTGGCAAATGCTTTCGCTATTGGGCGTCTCACTACGGTCCACGAATTTCACCTCTCGCGTAATGATACGAATGCCCCCGATTTGTCCCTCTTAATCATATAACCAATTCTAGAACCAACGAAAAGAACCGAAGTCCTTTTTCATTATTCCATGATTTGATTTGATCAAGGTAAACCAACTGGTAGCTGATGGTTTCCCACCCTCAAACCAGCTGATATACGAAGCTACGACTGAAGTTAACGCCGAAAGCGAACGACAGTACATAACCTAGATCCAACTACGAGCTTTTTAACCGCAGCAATAAGAGATACACTAGGAGAATTAGAACTACCGCGGCTGCAGGCACTCTCCGTGTTACTCTAAGAATTGATTGAATTCAATTCTTTATATTAACTAATCCAAAAGGATTAGTCTTTAGAAGCAAGAATCTCTGAAAAGAGATATTTACTTGAGCATATCGCGCTTAAAGAATCAAACAGGTATATCGCATTCAGTAGACGAAGCAATTGATACTTGACAAAATTAATCATCAAGCATCAACAATGTTATCCAAATTAACTTCAAAGAAGCGAACTCTTCAAAACAAAGTTTTACTCTCGCAAACATCCCAATGAAAACAACCGTTACCAAATATAATTCAATTCGCACAGTACTGATGCAACAATATGTTTTAGTAAGTCTAAACTGAAGTCTAGAACAAACACCAAACATATAGACGCAACAAAGCCGAAAACCAACTACAGTCAGCCACCAGCGATGTCACTAGAAAGTTGAGTGTACACAAGCCGCAAAAGGTTGCCAAAAACCACCACCAAAGTATAAGCATCATAAAGACACTTATACCCAACAGCAATTCCAACAGTCCCTTCACTACGCACATCCAACAGACGCGCTTGCTTGTCACTCGCCTAACAATGTCTAGCAGCTATACCTTCCCGCACTCACTTCGAAAAAAAAAATCTTAAGGGGTATGAGAAAATGGAAAAAAAAGTGAAAAACTATTATTTTCAGAGAGAACGAGAAGGATCGAATACATCTCTCTCCCCGTTTTTTGCTAGTGCTTGCATCGAGAGGGGAATAAGTGTAGGACTGACGTGTGTGTGAGGAAACGTGTATTTGTTGAGATGATGATATGAAAGTTGGGATTTTGAGCCGTGGTCAAAAATCAAAATGCAACCTCGTTGTGAGTGCTTGCCTTCCGCTAACCATCCAAGCTTTCGTGTCATATTGACAAATCAAGTTGTTGTGGAAGAACTAATATGTAGTCTCGTTGTGAGTGCTTGTCTTCCACAATATCTCCAAAAAAAATTGAAGAAGTAGAGAAAAATAAAAAAAAATCTTCTCTTGAAAAAATACAGCACTTTTTGGTTCATCTGAACAAAAACCTCGAACATACAAAAAAATAGCTAAAATGAAATTTAGGATAAACTATTTTTGGAGAGCAACAAAAAAAGTCGAGGGATAGTCTCAACAGATCGCAGTATATATGACTGTTCTACTAAATACAACACCTTGATCAAGTGACCAAGTCGTATACAAGTGATTGATTGCCCCGACATTGAACCAGAGTGAACTGGCGTTGGCAAGCATTGCAGATAAACACTACAATGCCAAAGCCATGAATAGGGCATAAGCTCTAGTGTTACCACTAGATAAGATGCCTCCCGATACCGGGATGCAAAGCATTATCGCCTTGAAAAGACGAGATTGCAACGTTCAGTTGTAGGTGTAAAACCCAACGCTTGGATAGGTTTCCTTTTGTAATGATAGGATGAGCCAATATCGAAGAATCAACAAGTTCAACATCGCTATGAGTTCTTGGCAACTACAAGTCACAAAGCCTTTGAACCAAATGTTTGAATCTGCTGTTCCTTTCGTACTAAGCAGTTCTATTTTCGCAATATCAAGTCAACAGTAGAGCACTACAAGTCAAGCAAGCTTTCCTTTCAAAATGATAGGATGAGCCAACATCGAAGAATCAAAAAGTTCAACCTCGCTATGAGTACTTGGCAACTACAAGTCACAAAGCCTTTGAACCAAATGTTTGAATCTGCTGTTCCTTTCGTACTAAGCAGTTCTATTTTCGCAATATCAAGTCAACAGTAGAGCACTACAAGTCAAGCAAGCTTTCCTTTCAAAATGATAGGATGAGCCAAGATCGAAGAATTAACAAGTTCAACCTTGCTGTGAGTACTTGGCAACTTTTTACCAAGTCCATGAACCAAATGTTTGAATCTGCTGTTCCTTTCGTACTAATTGTAAGCAGTCACTTTCGCAATAACAAGTCAACAGTAGAGTAAAACTAATCTGTCTCACGACGGTCTCAACCCAGCTCATTATCCCTATTAGTAGGTGTATAACCCAACGCTTGGTAATTTTCTTCTCGTAATGATAGGATGAGCCAACAAAGAATTAACAAGTAACATCACTATTAACACTTGACTACCTCAAGCTATTTATCCCTGCTGTTACTTTTCAGACACTTCTTACTCGAAACAAAAAGTACTCGTACTGATACATGAAGCAAGTCTTTGCTTCTATGCTCTACAAGAGGCTTCGGCCCTCTCCGAGCTCGCCTCAGCTCGAGCCTATCTCGAAGAAGCAATATGCAACTTCACTGTGAGTACTTGGCTACTACTTGTTACCAAGTCCATGAACCAAATGTTTGAACCTGCTGTTCCTTTCGTACTGAGCAGTCTTTCTTTTGCAATAACAAGTCAACAGTAGAGTAAAACTAATCTGTCTCACGACGGTCTTAACCCAGCTCACGTTCACTATTAGTAGATGAACAACCCAACGCTTGACGCTTCAAGGAGTCAATCCTTCAAAGCTCTGTTATAGATATAGCAGCTATACCTTCCCCGCACTACATTCGAAAAAAAATCTTAAGGGGTATGAGAAAATGGGAAAAAAGTGAAAAACTATTATTTTCAGAGAGAACGAGAAGGATCGAATACTTCTCTCTCCCCGTTTTTTGCTAGTGCTTGCATCGAGAGGGGGATAAGTGTTGGGATGGTATGGGTGTGAGAAAACATGTGTTTGCTGGAATGATGATAAAAAACTTCAGAACACAGAAATTTTTGTTATAACAAAAATTTTTTGTTCTGACTTCATTATTTCAAAAATAATTTTTCTGACAAAAGGGTCCCCCCTTATGATTTTTTTTTGGAAAAAAATAATATCGAAAATTTGACGAGATTTTTAGCTGAAAGTTTTTTTTGGGTTTTCAAGTGTGAAAAATAACGTAGAATTGATTATCAATTCACTATTTCAAAAATAAATTTTTTGACAAAAGGGTTTTTTTTCAAAAAATTATGATTTTTTTTTCAAAAAAATTTGGTATCGAAAATTTGACGAGATTTTTCGCTGAAAATGTGTTTTTTGGGTTTTCAAAATAACGTGGAATTGATAATCACTTCACTTTTTCAAAAATAATTGAACAGTTTCTTTGAAAACTGAGTGACCGAGCTTTTATAGTGATAGTACTGAACAGTTTTAAAAGTTTTTCATAAAAATTTGTGAATTATAAAAAAACGAAAAATCTTGTATCAAAACAAACCAAAAAACAACCGTGAAGATTTTTTTTTAAAAAAGAAAAATCTTCAGAAAAGACTTCTTATTTTAAAGAGTGCCGCGATCAAACTTTTTTTTTAATGTGAATAATTTTTTTTGTGTGGGATGATTTTTTTTTTCAAATTTTTAGTCACCTTCTCCTAGAAATTTGAAGAGAGAGAGAGAGGATGCACAGTTTATCAAAAATTTTGATCAAACAAAATGTCTTAAAATCACCGGATAAAATTAATACGAAGAGAAAAGCAGTTTCAAAAAAAACTAATGGATGTCTTAAAAAAAATAGCAAAAATAGAATTTAGGAAATACTATTTTTGGAGGGCAAAAAAAAAACTCAATTAAGGGATAGTCTCAACAGATCGCAGTATAAATGACTGCAATAAAAGAGAAAGCCATCAGAAAATCATTTCATCATTGGCCTTTGAAAAATATACAAACCTTTTCAACTTACCTTTTTCAATTCAAATTCACTTACCTTTCTTGAAATAAAATTAGATGAAGAGAGAGTTCAGAACTTCATCTAATCATCGGCCTTTGAAATCAAAAACAAACTTATTTAACTCCCCTTTCTTTAACTTTATACTTTATGAAACTTTATGAAAAAGCAAAAATGAAATTTAGGATAAACTATTCTTGAATTAAAAAAAAATTTAATTCAAGGAATAGTCTCAACAGATCGCAGTATAAAGACTGCAAAGGGCCATCAGAACATCATCTCATCATCGGCCTTTAAAAATAAAACAAACCTTTTCAACTTACCTTATCCAAATGAAATCGACTTACCTTTTCAATTCAAATTCACTTACCTTTCTTAAAATAAATTAGAAAAGAGAACGCCATCAGAACTTTATCTCATCATCGGCATCTCATATCAAAACAAACCTATTCAACTTACCTTTGTCAAATCATTTTTTTCTTACCTTTTTCAATTACTTACCTTTCTTGAAACAAACCTACTTACCTTTCTCAAATTAATTTTACTTACCCTTTTTTAACTCGATAAAATAATTAAATGGTGAATCAACCATTATTAAAACAAAAACCTTTAACAACATTTCAAGAAATAATTCATCATCAGCAAAAATAAAAGTAACCCTACTTTTCAATAATACAAGTTTCAATTAGCTTGGCCGTTTTCGTTGCCGCCGCCATTCCCGCCGCCAACATTTCCGCCACCATTCCCTCCATTTCCACCTTGTCCACCTTGTCCATTATTCGGATCATCATCTTCTTCTGGTGCTTCGTAATCGATTTGACCGGGCTTCGGGAACTGTGAAGAATCGTACTTCTTGCCGAATCCACCTCTTGGGCGCCACGGCTCGTATTGTTTGTGGAGTTTTCTAGATTCAAGGCTGAGCCATTCCAGATTCTTCTCCTCCTTTTTCGGCGTTCTCTTTTGCCAAATATAATTTTTCGTGTGGTTCAGATCGTTTCCGCTTCTGGTACGCTGAAAAAAAGCAAATTATTAAAAATATTCATGCATCTTATCCAAACTCACGATAAGTCCGTAATTCTTAACCGCCTTCTTCTTCTTTGTTCCATTAACTCCAGAATTTTCGACTTCAACCGGTTCAACTTCTATTGGAATCTCTTCTGCATTTCCCATCGGTTCTCCAACATTTACAATATTATCCGCGTTTTCCCCAGCATTATTCTCCGCATTTTCCGCAATGCCAACTCCAACATTTCGATCCTCATCTCTTTGCCCAATATCAGCATTTCCAACATTATTATCTCCAACATCCAAACCTCTTTCAACACCTTGATCAACACCATTTCCATCATTTTCACCTCTATTCCCAACACGCTCATTTTCCTCTTCCTGATTTCCAACAATTGCCGCACCATTCGGAGCATTATCTCCACCAATATTCAAATTTCCCAAATCCTCATTTATATCATCGATTTCATCTTCATTTTCTGATCCTGATTGCGTGATGTTCAACATAAATGGGATACGCTGAAAAAATGATTTTTTTTAAATCGATAAATGACACAATTCTTACCGGTGAGTTGCGAGCCAGAAGATTTTGAGCTCTTATATTATTCTGAGTCTTGGTTCGACTTCTTCTGCGTCTCCTTTCGGCTCTCGCAAATTCAGCCTCACCATTGAACGCACGCTCTTGTTCTTCTCTCGGCGCATTTTCCGCTGGATTTTCATCCACATTTTCCGCTGGATTTTCATCCACATTTTCCGGCAATCTTTCATTTCTCCTCTTTTTCACAACCTTTTTAGCTCCGCGTTTTTTCGGCTTCAAACCTTTGGGCTTATTTTGGACAATAGTTTTGATTTTCTTACCAGCCCTTTTCGATGCTTCTTTGACAGCATTTACGACGGCATTTCCAGCTTTTTCCAATTTCTTTCCAGTCTTTTTCTTCTTTTTCTCTTCTTCCTTTCTTCTCTCCTCTTCCTTTTTTTCCTCCTCTTTTCTATTCGGCGGTACACGTTTTCTAAGAGCTGGAGCCATCACCTGAAAGAAATCAAGAAAAATATTACGATTTCGAAAATGTAAGAAAAATAAAATTAGAAGAAGTTCAGAGAAAAAAAATTTGCCATCAGGTAGCATCATCGGCAAATTTCATTTTCAACATTCTTCATTATTTTTCTCACGTTCGAATCAGAGAATGAACAAAATGTTCAGCTTCTCATCGTAAAATTTTTTTGAAATAAAAACAGACCTGTATTTGGAATTTGAAATTGAATTCAGCATCACCGTCATCTCGAAAAAAATCTGAGGCAACTTGACCTAACTCGAAAATTTCCAGCTCAAAAAACTGATATAAAATGGACAGAAATAAAATAAAAAATTTTTTTTTTTTTTTTCAAAGTCTCATTTTTTTACTACCTAAAAGTGAATTTTATACATCCCATATTTAATCAACTTTAATCAAATTTAGGATATACTATTTCACAATGTATAGCAGCTATACCTTCCCCGCACTACATTCGAAAAAAAAAATCTTAAGGGGTATGAGAAAATGGGAAAAAAGTGAAAAACTATTATTTTCAGAGAGAACGAGAAGGATCGAATACTTCTCTCTTCCCGTTTTTTTCTAGGCTTTGCCGCGAATGACGATAGACATACTTAGAAGAAAACATCAGAAAATGAAATTTAGGATAAACTATTTTTGGAGGGCAACAGAACAAGTCAAGGGATAGTCTCAACAGATCGCAGTATCAATGACTGCTTTACTTTACTTGATCAAGTGACCAAGTCGTATACATATGATTTTTTGATCTGGCAAGCATTGCTGATGAACACTACAATGCCAAGGCCATGAATAGGGCATAAGATCTAGTGTTGCCACTAGATAAGGTACTTTCCGATACCGGGAAGCAAAGCATGATCGCCTTGACAAGGCAAGATTGCAACGTTCAGTTGTAGGTGTAAAACCCAACGCTTGGATAGGTTTCCTTTCAAAATGATAGGATGAGCCAACATCGAAGAATCAACAAGTTCAACCTCGCTGTGAGTACTTGGCAACTACAAGTCACAAAGTCCGTTAACCAAATGTTTGAATCTGCTGTTCCTTACGTACTAAGCAGTTACTATCGCAATAACAAGTCAACAGTAGATCACTACAAGTCAAGCAAGCTTTCCTTTCGTAATGATAGGATGAGCCAACATCGAAGAATCAAAAAGTTCAGCTTCGCTGTGAGTACTTGGCAATTTCTTACCAAGTCCATAAACCAAATGTTTGAATCTGCTGTTCCTTTCGTACTAAGCAGTCTTATTTTCGCAATAACGAGTCAACAGTAGAGCACTACAAGTCAAGCAAGCTTTCCTTTCGTAATGATAGGATGAGCCAACATCGAAGAATCAAAAAGTTCAGCTTCGCTGTGAGTACTTGGCAATTTCTTACCAAGTCCATAAACCAAATGTTTGAATCTGCTGTTCCTTTCGTACTAAGCAGTCTTATTTTCGCAATAACGAGTCAACAGTAGAGCACTACAAGTCAAGCAAGCTTTCCTTTCGTAATGATAGGATGAGCCAACATCGAAGAATCAAAAAGTTCAGCTTCGCTGTGAGTACTTGGCAATTTCTTACCAAGTCCATAAACCAAATGTTTGAATCTGCTGTTCCTTTCGTACTAAGCAGTCTTATTTTCGCAATAACGAGTCAACAGTAGAGCACTACAAGTCAAGCAAGCTTTCCTTTCGTAATGATAGGATGAGCCAACATCGAAGAATCAAAAAGTTCAGCTTCGCTGTGAGTACTTGGCAATTTCTTACCAAGTCCATAAACCAAATGTTTGAATCTGCTGTTCCTTTCGTACTAAGCAGTCTTATTTTCGCAATAACAAGTCAACAGTAGAGCACTACAAGTCAAGCAAGCTTTCCTTTCAAAATGATAGGATGAGCCAACATCGAAGAATCAAAAAGTTCAACCTCGCTGTGAGTACTTGGCAATTTCTTACCAAGTCCATAAACCAAATGTTTGAATCTGCTGTTCCTTTCGTACTAAGCAGTCTTATTTTCGCAATAACAAGTCAACAGTAGAGCACTACAAGTCAAGCAAGCTTTCCTTTTGAAATGATAGGATGAGCCAACATCGAAGAATTAACAAGTTCAACTTCGCTTTGAGTACTTGGCTACTACAAGTCACAAAGCCTTTGAACCAAATGTTTGAATCTGCTGTTCCTTACGTACTAAGCAGTCTTATTTTCGCAATAACAAGTCAACAGTAGAGAAAAACTAACCTGTTTCTCGGTTTGATTCCAGCTCGCGTTCTTTATTAGTAGATGTGAAACCCAACGCTTGGACAGTTCGGCTTTAAGGACAGTTCTGCTCTCGAGCCCATCTCGAAGAAGCAAAATGCAACTTCGCTCTGGATGCTTGGCTACTACTTGTAACCAAGCCCTTGAACCAAATGTTTGAACCCGCTGTTCCTTTCGTACTAAGCAGTCACTTTCGCAATTACAAGTCAACAGTAGAGAAAAACTAACCTGTTTCTCGGTTTGATTCCAGCTCGCGTTCTCTATTTGTATGTGTGAAACCCAACGCTTGGACAGTTCTGCTCTCGAGCCCATCTCGAAGAAGCAAAATGCAACCTCGCTGTGAGTACTTGGCTACTACAAGTCACAAACCCTACGAACCAAATGTTTGAACCTGCTGTTCCTTCCGTACTAAGCAGTCACTTTCGCAATATCAAGTCAACAGTAGAGAAAAACTAATCTGTCTCACGACGGTCTTAACCCAGCTCACGTTCACTATTAGTAGATGAACAACCCAACGCTTGATGCTTCAAGGAGTTAATCCTTCAAAGCTCTGTTATAGATATAGCAGCTATCCCTTCCCCGCACTCTATTCGAAAAAAAATCTTAAGGGGTATGAGAAAATGGGAAAAAAGTGAAAAACTATTATTTTCAGAGAGAACGAGAAGGATCGGATACATCTCTCTCCCCGTTTTTTGCTAGTGCTTGCATCGAGAGGGGGGAAAGTGTTGGGATGGTATGGGTGTGAGAAAACATGTGTTTGCTGGAATGATGATAAAAAACTTCAGAACACAGAAATTTTTGTTATAACAAAAATTTTTTGTTCTCACTTCATTATTTCAAAAATAATTTTTTTGACAAAAGGGTCCCCCCTTATGATTTTTTTTTTCAAAAAAAAATTGGTTTCAAAATTTGTAGAGATTTCTAGCTGAAAATGTTTTTTTTTGGGTTTTCAAGTGTGAAAATAAACTAAGAATTGATTATCACTTCACTATTTCAAAAATAATAAGTATGAGAAAAAAGGAAAAATGAAATTTAGGTAAAACAATTATTTGAGAGAAAAAAGACTAGTCAAGGGATGTCTAGTCAAAGGAAAATAGTGAAAATGAAATTTAGGATAAACTATTTTTGGAGAGCAACAAAAAACTCAATCAAGGGATAGTCTCAACAGATCGCAGTATAAATGACTGCTTTACTTAATACAACATCTTGATCAAGAGCAGACCTGGGAATTTTTCACGAAGCACCGTAAAACGTAAAACATACTTTTTACGGTTTTGAAAAACCGTAAAATTACGAGAAAAACGTAAAATTTTGTTACTCAATCTTTTCACTGAAAAACAGAAAAAATTTCTTCAGAAATAGCGAGTTGGTAACTTATCGTAACTCCAACACATTTTTAACAATATTATTCTTCATATTCGTCAAAAAATTTATCAGTTAGGATTAAATCAAAATTTTCTTTGAAAAATGTTGTGTTTTTTTTTGAAGTTTCTATTTGATTCTGTCAAAATTCACTATAATTAAACTATATTTAGTATATAGTGTTTTTAGTGATTTTTTAAACGAACCATTTTACGATTTTTTGAGCGGTAAAACCGTAAAATGGATTTTACGGTGAAATCCCGTAAAAACCGTAAAACGAAAAAAACGTAAACGTAAAAATTCCCAGGTCTGATCAAGAGACCAAGACGTATACAAGTGATTGATTGCCCCGACATTGAACCAGAATGAACTGGCGTTGGTAAGCATTGCAGATAAAGACTACAATGCCAAAGCCATGAATAGGGCATAAGCTCTAGTGTTACCACTAGATAAGATGATTCCCGATACCGGGATGCAAAGCATTATCGCCTTGACAAGGCAAGACTGCAACGTTCAGTTGTAGGTGTGAAACCCAACGCTTGGATAGTTTTCTTTTCGTAATGATAGGATGAGCCAACAGAAAAATAACAAGTAACATCACTATGAACGCTTGACTACCTCAAGCAATTTATCCCTGCTGTTACTTTTCAGACACCTCTTACTCGAAACAAAAAGTACTCGTACTGATACATGAAGCAAGCTTTTGCTTCTATGCTCTACAAGAGGTTTCAGTCCTTAACCCAGCTTACGTTCACTACTAGTAGATGAACAACCCAACGCTTGACGCTTCAAGGAGTTAATCCTTCAAAGCTCTGTTATAGATATAGCAGCTATCCCTTCCCCGCACTACATTCGAAAAAAATCTTAAGGGGTATGAGAAAATGGGAAAAAAAGTGAAAAACTATTTTTTTAAGAGAAAGGGGGAAGGATCGAATACTTCTCTCTCCCTGTTTTTTTCTAGTTCTTGCATCGAGAAGGGGGAAAGTGTTTGGATGGTATGGGTGTGAGAAAACATGTGTTTGCTGGAATGATGATACAAAACTTCAGAACACAGAAATTTTTGTTATAACAAAAATGTTTTGTTCTCACTTCATTATTTCAAAAATAATTTTTTTGACACAGCCCCGAAATAGTGAACATAGTGAATTTTTTTTGAAAAAAAAATCATCCTTTTGTCAAAAAAATTATTTTTGAAATAGTGAACTGATAATCAATTCTACGTTATTTTTCACACTTGAAAACCCAAAAAACACTTTTTCAGCTAAAAATCTCTACAAATTTTCGATACCAATTTTTTTTTGAAAAAAAATCATAAGGGGGGACCCTTTTGTCAAAAAAATTATTTTTGAAATAGTGAGCTGAAGTAGTGAAATAGCGAAATAGTGATTGAAATAGTGAACATAGTGAATTTTTTTTGAAAAAAAAATCATCCTTTTGTCAAAACAATTTGATTACAAACCAATTTTGGTTATAAAAAAGATTTTCAGATAACTTTATTCTTTCGTTTAGAATACACTTCGAGTTTTCGGAAAACTTCGTTCACAGATTTACCTGAAAACAATTTTTTAAATAGATAAATCCACATGTTTGCCCATTATTCCTGATGGGTACGAGATTTCCCAAAACATGCATCTGGGTCTCTTCAAAATTCGTACACTCTTTCTCGTTTGACGCGGTTTTTTTTAGCACCAAGGTGCGAAAATTTTTGACGGGTGTCAAAAATCTGTTTGAAGTTTTTGATATATTTCGAATTTCTAAGAAGTGGTCGGATTTTTAACAGATTTTTATTTTTCACACTTGAAAACACAAAAAAAAACACTTTTTCAGCTAAAAATCTACAAATTTTCGATACCAATTTTTTTTGAAAAAAAAATCATAAGGGGGGACCCTTTTGTCAAAAAAATTATTTTTGAAATAGTGAACTGATAATCAATTCTACGTTATTTTTCACACTTGAAAACCCAAAAAACTGCGATCTGTTGAGACTATCCCTTTAATTAATATTTTTTTGCCCTCCAAAAATAGTTTATCCTAAATTTCATTTTCGCTTTTTTTTGTAAGTTTGAGCTTTTTGTTCAGACATCCCTTGATTAATTTTTTTGCTTTCAAATAATAGTTTAACCTAAATTTCATTTTTCCTTTTTTTTCATACTTTCAAGATTTTTTTGGGAAACCAATAAATTTAGATGGAATGTTGTTTCTCTGTGTTTTCTCCCTCTCTTTTCTAGGAGACTAAAAATTTGAAAAAAAAATCATCCCACGCGAAAAAATGATTCACATTTAAAAAAGTGTTTTTTGGGTTTTCAAGTGTAAAAACTAACGTAGAATCAGTTCACTATTTCAAAAATAATTTTTTTGACAAAAGGGTCCCCTCTTATGATTTTTTTTTCAAAAAAAATTGACATCGAAAATTTGTAGAGATTTTTAGCTGAAAAAGTGTTTTTTGGGTTTTCAAGTGTGAAAAATAACATAGAATTGATTATCAGTTCACTATTTCAAAAATAATTTTTTTGACAAAAGGATGATTTTTTTTTCAAAAAAAATTCAATATGTTCACTATTTCGGGGCTGTGTCAAAAAAATTATTTTTGAGATGGTGAAGTGAGAACAGAAAAATTTCTTATTAACACAAATTTTTTTGTTCTCAAGTTTTTTATTATCATGCCAGCAGACACATGTTTTCTCACACCCATACCATCCCAACACTTTCCCCCCTTCTCGATGCAAGCACTAGCAAAAAACGGGGAGAGAGAAGTATTCGATCCTTCCCCCTTTCCCTCAAAAAAATAGTTTTTCACTTTTTTCCCATTTTCTCATACCCCTTAAGATTTTTTTTCGAATAGAGTGCGGGGAAGGGATAGCTGCTATATCTATAACAGAGCTTTGAAGGATTGACTCCTTGAAGCGTCAAGCGTTGGGTTGTTCATCTACTAATAGTGAACATGAGCTGGGTTAAGACCGTCGTGAGACAGATTAGTTTTACTCTATTGTTGACTTGTTATTGCGAAAGTGACTGCTTAGTACGAAAGGAACAGCAGATTCAAACATTTGGTTCATGGACTTGGATCTTTTGGCCAATAGTCCAAAGCTACTATTTGAGAGATTAGAACTGAACGTTGCAATCTTGCCTTGTCAAGGCGATAATGCTTTGCATCCTGGTATCGGGAAGCATCTTATCTAGTGGTAACACTAGAGCTTATGCTATTCATGGCCTTGGCATTGTAGTGTTTATCTGCAATGCTTTCCAACGCCAGTTCACTCTGGTTCAATGTCGGGGAAATCAATCACTTGTGTACGCCTTGATCTCTTGATCAAAGTGTTGTATTCAGTAAAGCAGTCATATATACTGCGATCTGTTGAGACTATTCCTTGATTGAGTTTTTTGTTGCCCTCCAAAAATAGTTTATCCTAAATTTCATTTTTACTATTTTCCCTTCACTTTTTTCTCTCAAATAATAGTTTTACCTGAATTTCATTTCCCCATTTTTTTGAAAAAAAAATCATAACCCTTTTGTCAAAAAAAAATTAATTTTGAAATAGTGAAGTGAGAACAGAAAAAAGGACAATATGAAACGAAAGCATGAAGAGTTTGTGGAAGACAAGCATTCACAGCGAGACGACATATTAGTTCTTCCACAACAACTCGATTTGTCAATCTGACCCGAATGCTTGAAGAGTTTGTGGAAGGCAAGCACTCACAACGAGACTGCATATTAGTTCTTCCACAACAACTCGATTTGTCAATCTGACCCGAAAGCTTGAAGAGTTTGTGGAAGACAAGCACTCACAACGAGACGACATATTAGTTCTTCCACAACAACTCGATTTGTCAATCTGACCCGAAAGCTTGAAGAGTTTGTGGAAGACAAGCACTCACAACGAGACTGCATATTAGTTCTTCCACAACAACTCGATTTGTCAATCTGACCCGAAAGCTTGAAGAGTTTGTGGAAGACAAGCACTCACAACGAGACGACATATTAGTTCTTCCACAACAACTCGATTTGTCAATATGACACGAATGCTTGAAGAGTTTGTGGAAGACAAGCATTCACAACGAGACGACATATTAGTTCTTCCACAACAACTCGATTTGTCAATATGACCTGAATGCTTGAAGAGTTTGTGGAAGACAAGCACTCACCACGAGACGACATATTAGTTCTTCCACAACAACTCGATTTGTCAATATGACCTGAATGCTTGAAGAGTTTGTGGAAGACAAGCACTCACAACGAGACTGCATATTAGTTCTTCCACAACAACTCGATTTGTCAATCTGACCCGAATGCTTGAAGAGTTTGTGGAAGACAAGCATTCACAACGAGACGACATATTAGTTCTTCCACAACAACTCGATTTGTCAATATGACCTGAATGCTTGAAGAGTTTGTGGAAGACAAGCACTCACCACGAGACGACATATTAGTTCTTCCACAACAACTCGATTTGTCAATATGACCTGAATGCTTGAAGAGTTTGTGGAAGACAAGCATTCACAACGAGACGACATATTAGTTCTTCCACAACAACTCGATTTGTCAATATGACACGAAAGCTTGAAGAGTTTGTGGAAGACAAGCACTCACCACGAGACGACATATTAGTTCTTCCACAACAACTCGATTTGTCAATATGACACGAAAGCTTGAAGAGTTTGTGGAAGACAAGCACTCACAACGAGACTACAAATTAGTTCTTCCACAACAACTCGATTTGTCAATATGACACGAAAGCTTGAAGAGTTTGTGGAAGACAAGCACTCACAACGAGGTTTGCTTTTTGATTTTTCGACCGCGGTTCGAAATCCCAACTTTCATATCATCATCTCAACAAGTACATGTTTTCTCACACCCATACCATCCCAACACTTTCCCCCCTCTCGATGCAAGCACTAGCAAAAAACGGGGAGAGAGATGTATCCGATCCTTCTCGTTCTCTCTGAAAATAATAGTTTTTCACTTTTTTTCCATTTTCTCATACCCCTTAAGATTTTTTTTCGAAGTGAGTGCGGGGAAGGTATAGCTGCTAGACATTGTTAGGCGAGTGACAAGCAAGCGCGTCTGTTGGATGTGCGTAGTGAAGGGACTGTTGGAATTGCTGTTGGGTATAAGTGTCTTTATGATGCTTATACTTTGGTGGTGGTTTTTGGCAACCTTTTACGGCTTGTGTACACTCAACTTTCTAGTGACATCGCTGGTGGCTGACTGTAGTTGGTTTTCGGCTTTGTTGCGTCTATATGTTTGATGTTTGTTCTAGACTTCAGTTTAGACTTACTAAAACATATTGTTGCATCAGTACTGTGCGAATTGAATTATATTTGGTAATGGTTGTGTTCATTGGGACGTTTGCGAGAGTAAAACTTTGTTTTGAAGAGTTAGCTTCTTTGAAGTTAATTTGGATAACATTGTTGATGCTTGATGATTAATTTTGTCAAGTATCAATTGCTTCGTTTTTTGAATTCGATATACCTGTTTGATTCTTTAAGCGCGATATGCTCAAGTAAATATCTCTTTTTTGAGATACTTGTTTTTAATGACTAATCCTTTTGGATTAGTTAATTAAAAGAATTGAATTCAATCAATTCTTAGAGTAACACGGAGAGTGCCCGCAGCCGCGGTAATTTAGATCTCCTAGTGTATCTCTTATTGTTGCAGTTAAAAAGCTCAGAGTTGGATCTAGGTTATGTACTGTCGTTCGCTTCTAGCGTTAACTTCAGTCGTAGCTACGTATATCAGCTGGTTTGAGGGTGGGAAACCATCAGCTACCAGTTGGTTTACCTTGATCAAATCAAATCATGGAATAATAAAGAAGGACTTCGGTTCTTTTTGTTGGTTCTAGAATTGGTTAACTGATTAAGAGGGACAAACCGGGGGCATTCGTATCATTACGCGAGAGGTGAAATTCGTGGACCGTAGTGAGACGCCCAATAGCGAAAGCATTTGCCAAGAATGTCTTCATTAATTAAGAACTTAAGTCAGAGGTTCGAAGGCGATACCGCCCTAGTTCTGACTGTTAACTATGCCATCAAGCATTTCGAAGAGGTTTTACCTTTTCGAGAAGCAAAGTATGGTTGCAAAGCTGAAACTTAAAGAAATTGACGGAAGGGCACCACAAGGCGTGGAGCTTACGGCTTGATTTGACTCAACACTATCCGGTCCGGACACTATTAGGACTGACAGATTGAAAGCTCTTTCTCGATTTGGTGATTAGTGGTGCATGGTTGTTCCGAGTGAACTGTCTAGTTTATTCGGAACGAGGTTCTAGCCTCTTCTTAGAGGGATAAGCGGTTTTTTGCCGCACGAGATTGAGCGAGAACAGGTCTGTGCAGCTCCTAGGTGTCCGGTTTAACAAGGAACGCCTAGTAAGTGTGAGTCATCAGCTCACGTTGATTACGTCCCTGCCCTTTGTACACACCGCCCGTCGCTATCCGGGACTGAATTGATTCGAGAAGAAGGATGATTGTTGCTTTGAGGCTTCGCGGCTTCTTTGCGATAAGAGTCTTCCGATCGTTTTGGTTTGAACCGGGTAAAAGTCGTAATAAGGTTGCTGTAGGTTAACCTGCAGCTGGATCATCGCCGAATTTTTCGACGAGAAGTCCATACTTCTTTTACATTTTTGAACATCTTGACAAGATGCCTAAAAGTGAATGGTTGTCCCCTGATGTGGCAATATTCCAAACATTCCAGGCTTAATGAAATGTTTTGAAAGCTTTAGCTTGATAAATGTTCGTCTTGTCAACCTTTAACCTAGTATATTTGGTGGCTATACGTGCTCGAGATTGAAATTCATTATTCTTTCGAAGAGTAATAGTCTTAATGAGAATTGTTGCAGTCAACAGTTCCGCCAAATGTATTAAAATCGTTTGCTATGTTATCAGTTACGAGAGTTTGTGGTGCAAACTGCAAATGATCATCGATATTCGTATCGAAACTAACGGGAATCCCGAAAGATGGTTTAAAACCCCTAGCATTGGACGTCAGGCTTCGGCCTGATGTCTAGTGCTAGGGGGTCAATTAAACCCCGAGAGATGGTTTAAAACCCCTAGCACTGGACGTTAGGCTTCGGCCTGATGTCTAGTGCTAGGGGGTCAATTAAACCCGAAAGATGGTTTAAAACCCCTAGCACTGGACGTTAGGCTTCGGCCTGATGTCTAGTGCTAGGGGGTCAATTAAATTTATCAGTACGAGTACATATTATCCTGAATAAGAGGTGTCAATAAAGTAACAGAATGGATAACTAGCTCGCGACAGTTATTTGTGATGTTATTTGTTGATTCTTCGATATTGGCTCATCCTATCATTCACTTAAAGTACCTTATCTAGTGGTAACACTAGAGCTTATGCCCTATTCATGGCTTTGGCATTGTAGTGTTTATCTGCAATGCTTGCCAACGCCAGTTCACTCTGGTTCAATGTCAGGGCAAAAATCACTTGTATACGGCTTGGTCTCTTGATCAAGTTTTGGAGTATTCAGTGATGCAGTCATATATACTGCGATCTGTTGAGACTATCCCTTGAACTTTTATTTTTTTGCCCTCTAAAAATAGTTTATCCTAAATTTCATTTTTGCTAGTTTTTTTGCAACTTCGAGGTTTTTGTTCAGACATCCTTTGTTTTTTTTTGCTCTCAAATAATATTTTTTTCGTGTATAGATTCAACAAAAATTGAAAATTTTATTTTTGTGTATAGAAAAATAGTGAAAATTTTATTCTTGTGTATAGACAAAAATTGAAATTTTTTTTTGTGTACAGTCTCATATATCGATTTACCCTATCAAAATCCATTTTTAAGACTATCATTTTTAACACAAAACCAAATAGACACAGTCTGAAAGCGGCTCGAGATTTTTCAAAAAAAAAATCGGCTCGAGATTTTTCAAAAAAAAAAAAAATCGGTCCGAGATTTTTCAAAAAAAAGTTACAGATTTGGAATAATCCAAAAATGTGAAAATGAAGTCGATGAGTTGTTTTTTTTTTGTGTTAAAAAAAGTTTTTTGATCAAAAAATGACTCGTGGCAAAAATCAAGAAGGCTTCCTAATTTTGCCATGGATGAAGTCACCCATCAGTTTTTCAAAAAAAAACTTTTTTATTGTAATTTGTTTTTTTAACAGTGTTAAAAAAAGAAATTTTGATTTCAATTTTTGTTGAATTCCCATTGATTACACGAAGTTCTAAATTTCACAAAAAATTAGGATAAACTATTATTGTATGTAAAAAAGTCATGTATGTGTTTACAATAAGTCCCAAATTTTTGTTCTTCAAATAAATTGTCTCTCCAAAAAAGTGTGTTGCAAATTTTGTTAAACATTTGGTCCAGATGTGTGTTATAATTTGGTTCACACTATTTTTTTTTATTGTGCTTGTGTTTTGCTTACGACCATATCACTTTGAATACACGCCATCTCGTCCGATCTGGCAAGTTAAGCAACGTTGAGCCCGGTTAGTACTTGGATCGGAGACGGCTTGGGAATCCCGGATGTTGTAAGCTTTTGCATAATTATAGACATGACCGTCTCCAAACAGAAATTTCGGTTTGGAGACAAATTCATAGAAATTTTCAAGTTTTTCGTTCAAAAAATGACTTTTTTTTAACACTGTTAAAAAACAAGAAAATTTTTGAAATTTTGTCAGCTACCCGCTCAAATCGAAATTTTCATTCGGGCGGGTTTTTTTTGTCAGAAATTTCAAGAAATTCAACAAAAACCGAAATTTTGATTTTCGTTGAAAAAATGTGTCAAGTAGCCACAGCGAGAGGAGGGTGTTTTGTAGGAACGAAGATCGAAATTTTATTTTTGATTTACATATTTTTGATTTAGAAAAATTAATTTTTTTTGAAGGCAAGTCTAGGAAAAAAGTGTGTGTTGTAGGGCTGAATGCGAGATGTGTCAAGTAACCACAGCGAGAGGAGGGTGTTTTGTAGGGCTGAATGCGAGATGTGTCAAGTAACCACAGCGAGAGGAGGGTGTTTTGTAGGGCTGAATGCGAGATGTGTCAAGTAACCACAGCGAGAGGAGGGTGTTTTGTAGGAACGAAGATCGAAATTTTATTTTTGATTTACATATTTTTGATTTAGAAAAATTAATTTTTTTTTGAAGGCAAGTCTAGGAAAAAAGTGTGTGTTGTAGGGCTGAATGCGAGATGTGTCAAGTAACCACAGCGAGAGGAGGGTGTTTTGTAGGAACGAAGATCGAAATTTTATTTTTGATTTACATATTTTTTATTTAAAAAAATTAATTTTTTTTTTTTGAAGGCGAGTCTAGGAATGTAGACGTAGACTTTTCAGAATTGAAAAGTTTCGCGTATCGCGTTTAAGGTATAAGTAATGTGAGTGTCAAAAAAAGTTAAAAATATCTTGATGGTCTTGGATATTTTGTCAAAATTATAGAAGTCTTGAGAATATTTTGGAATTAAATGAATAGTCCGCAGTGGTAAATTTATTCGAAAAAAAAACAGGAAAAACTGATGGCTGGAGCCAGCTTACAAGTTGTTGGTTTTCAGCTGATATGAGAGAAGAATTGTGTTCGAGAAGTTCGATGATCTGAAAATAATTAATAGTTAAAAAATATACATGGTTCAAAGAATACTTTGTAAAATATTTCACTTTTTAGAGCAGGTGAAATTTATACATATGAATAATAGTCATTATCAACACAATATATTCTAAACAAGAAAAATGTTATTAAAAAAATTTTCACAGTGAAGCATAAAAATACCATTTTCAATGAATCACAACAATTTTTGAAACAGAGGAGGATTTTTTATCCTTTCTTGTTTTCCAAAATAAAACTTCATTTCGAAAGGGTGGATATGAAAAAATCATAACAACACAGTTCACAATCGAATGATTACTAAAAATTGCTGCTTGGATCAATGTGATTTCTGAAAAAAATTAATTTCATTTTTTTTTGTTGAAATTCTATCCACCATTTGCAGCTGGCAATTCTAGAGCTATGGCGAAAACAACGATAATAACTGGAACCACAAAAATAAAAACGGTTAATGATTGGGCAATTAAACTTTTTAAAACATCTCTGTGTCGTTTAATAGTTGCATTTGAGTTAGTTGAACTTGAATTTGATAACACTTTCAACATTTTATAAGTTGTGAAAATAATAACACCGATTATGAATGCAGAACCAATTGGAACAGATGCAAAGAATGTAATAGTCATGATATCAATTTCAAATATTAGATAATCTTCAAGAAGTTCAAAATAATATTTATATTCTTCTGGTATCAAATTCAATTCTTCTTCTCTTGTTGGTAATGCAAAAATCAAAAGAACTATACAAGTTTGATTAAAAACGACACTCAAAATAATTAAAATAGATGAAATTAAGTTTTGTTTTCCAAACGAAATTAGAGCACTATATTTTCTTAAGAAACAAGATTCCATTGAAATAATACCATTCGCAAAAACTTCTCCAAAAATTACTATTGAAATTTTTGATGGAATTTTTAGATATTTCCAGAAATATCCATATGTGCAATTAATACCAATAAATGGAAAAAATGTCACAATTTTCATTCCATGCAAAAGTGTAATATCAAGAAATATACAGGATAGTTGAAAATACAATAAGTTATATTTGTAGTTTCCCATTGATGAACTTTTGAATATCACCAAATATAATCCAATTAAATTTATCACTAAAGAAACATAACCAAGGATTGTGTAGTAATAAAGAAGCCAATATGGTGTTTCAAGAAATGACATTATCACAAAAAGTATTTGAAACAAAAACTTGAAAATTAATCTCAATCAATTTTTTGAGCAGCTGAAATATTCTAAAGAAAAGTGTGTTATTTTCGATAGTTGGAAAAGTCTGGAACTCACAATCAGAAATAATTTAGAAGTAAAAAAAACAGGAAAACAGGAATTCTGATGAATCTTACATTTTACTAATTTTTATTTTTGGAAAATTTATTCTCATTTTAAGTTGAACTTCATAGAAATTTTTTCTTGAATTTAAAAAAAAAATTCTTAAATTCTGGAAGTTTCTCCATTCTTTTCACCTTCTAAAATTTTCATATTTCCTCTTCGATTTTCAAAAATTGCGAAATCATAAAAAATTTCATTGCTAGGAAAGTGGAGTGTTGTATAAAAATGGAAAAAATCAAAATATTTATGAATTCCTCCTGAAAAAAGTGGGATTTTTTTATTGAAAATGGTCAGAAAGCTAATGTTTAGATGAAGACCACCCACGAAGATTCCTTCGAAATCGAAAAATTTGAAAATCCAGCCTAAGTTTTTGAGGGTTTTTTTTTGAAATTCAAAAACCATGATCGTTCAAAAATCAAAATGTTGCTAGTCAAATTTAACTTGAAAAATTTTAATGTCTTCATTTTTGAATTTCAAAAATCAATATTTCTACGTGATACTGCAATTGTTCACTTTTTCCACGCATTAACCTTCTATTCATCTTGTAAAACACGGTGAAATCAAACACTCAGCTATAATGTAGCCAACTACGTGCAGATTAGCATGCAATGCATGCTAATGTTTCTCTGCGTCTCTTCTCTCTTTCTCGCTCTCTCTCTCACCTATTAGAAAACACACTAAACACAGTGCACTCCGGCGTCTTTTTGGTTGTTGTTGGTGGTTTGTGGTTTGTGGTCGAGTGTTGGTGGATTGACGCATCAATCGATAATTGCTATCGCTCGTGGATTGAAGTGCTGTCCGGATAGTTTGATTTGGTTGCTCCAGGTTAGTTTATTTCTCATGCTCATTTCAAAATTGTTGACTTTAGACCTGTTTTTTTCAATTTTTTTTTTTGAAACGGGAAATTCATTTTTTTTCAATGCTTTGAGGTCTCTTTTTTGGAGAAAAAGCGTATTTTGAGAAGATAAAAAATTCTAGATTGATTTTTGAAAATTCAGAAAAACTACATGACTGGGCTATTTTAGTTAGTAAAAGTTAGTTTAAGATTTCATTTAAGGCTCAAAAATAAAAAGCTTTGCTACAAATTCTAGGTTAGAAATATGTGGCCGAATTATTGAGATGACCGAGAATTGTCGGGAGTTCGGCCAACAACATGTAACATTTGATGCTTGGCCGAACTTCCGACATTTCTCGGCCATTTCAATCATTCGGCCACGCTTTTTTAAACTTCAACAATCACCAGTGAAACATTTGAGAAGGAGTTTTTCAAAACAATATGTGCAATTTATTTTGAAAGTAATTCGAATTTTTTTTCAGAGCTTCTACCATTTGGGTCTTCTCGATTCTCGGTGTCCTCTATTCATCCACATCGTCACACTTCTTGATCTTTCCGTCACACTTCTTGATCTTCTATCATCATCCACATCGTCACAGTTTCTTGATCAAACCGAATTCATCTGGTAGCTAACGCGATTTCTGAAGTTGAGATTCATTTGAATTCATAAGGTTAGTTGGCCCAGAAAAATTGAAAATTATTGATTTTTACAAAGTTTTATACACGTTAGAAAAAACCGTGGCCGAATTATTAAGATGACCGAGAATCGTCGGGAATTCGGCCAAAAAACTTGTTCCAAATGCAACATTTGATACTTGACCGAGATCCCGACATTTCTCGGCCATCAAATTTTTCAAAAAAAAATCGGCCCGAGATTTTTCAAAAAAAAAATCGGCCCGAGATTTTTCAAAATTTTTGACAAAAAAAACCCGCCCGAATGAAAATTTCAATTTAAGCGCTTCAGAATTTTTGGAAATTAACTCATTTTTTTCAGGTTACCTGTTGGTTTGTTAGTCTAGCCACGATTCACCGTCATTTCCTCGATTATCCCTCATCGCTTGGTGTGTGATTTTTCCGCCAATTGTGTTGTTTCTGAACTTGGTTGCGACTTGGATTCTGCTGTATCGACTTGGATTTCCGCTCGTCTGATTGGTTACAGTTCACCCAGCTGTTTTTGACCAAGTTGTGTTGTTATTCCGATTTGATTGGAATTTTTACATTTGCTGAAATTTTTGTTGTTTGGTGGACAGTTTTGTGGTGAGTTCATTCTTCTAGTCAGAACAAACCGAACAAAAAGATCCGGATCTTCTGTAATTTCAAAAAAAAAAACGATCATTAACTTTCTGCAGAAAAGTTCTCACAATTTTTTTGAAATCAACATTATAAATGAATTTTAAAATTTGAAAAAAAAACGCATCTAGAAATAATAATTATATGATAAACCAATAATTTTTAATAATTAATCAATAATTTTTTTTTACAGAAAATGAGTTCTTCATCTTCCGCTGAAATGGTTTATCCAACTTGTGGAGAATCACCGGAGAAAAGAGCGAAGAGAATCGAGAGAGAAAAACGAAAAGTGTACGAGAGATTCGAGTCAAAAAATGTGGACCTAGAAGCGGCTGAGAATTTCTATTTCCATTCGGTTCACGAAAGCATGGAGTTTCCCAAAGATTTGCCTGTAGAAGTCGAGGAGCAATTGAACAAAAATCTTATTTTGGCGATGATGCGAATGGCTGAAATTTTTGAAGCTCCGGTGAGTTGAAACACAATTGAGAGAGAGGGTTTGAAATTGAATAACATTTTAAATCAATTCAATTTTGTGTTTTTTCAGGATCTTCGAATTGGAGTAAACGACATAATAGGAGTCTTGTGCGTCACCAACGATTACCACTCTCATGTATTATTGAAGGGGTGGACCAAGAATCTCTTTGATATCAATCAACAGATTACAACTCTTCTCCCAACTCTCCAACGTGATGCTCTTCCAAATATCCAGCAGTTATGCACCGAATTCGCCCCAGTCCTCTTGAATATTGAATCGGAACCGATCGAAATGCGATTCAGAAGATGTATTCATGTTATGTCCGCTGGTAAAGATGCAGCGTACCTGGAAGTGGACACCGGACGTGTAAGTTTTTTTTCACCTATTTTTTTCTCTTCTGAAAATATCTTTGATATGCGGGGAGGTTCAGAAACCCAACATATCTATCCCGCTGCCCTGAAAAACAAAAAATTTTTTTCAGATCCGGATCATGAATTCGGTGGATGACACAATGGTTGTTCAAATGCCGAGCGAATTTCTCTCAATTCCACCGGCGATTGCGGAACTGCGCCTCAATAATCGATTGTATTTTGTGAGTTGTTTTGTTGGAAGAAAGAAGCGAATTCAAGCTGTTAGAAGATTTCTAGCTTTTTTAAATTGATTTTATTTTTGAAGCTCAAAATCCAATTTAGAAAAATTATTAATATTCCCAAAGTGCGTTAGGGATTCTCTTTCTCTACTTTTCTAATTCAAATTTCAATGTTTTCCAATTTTATTTGAGATATTACCAAAGTTCTGAAATTTTAGATTTTCTAAATGCCAAGACAAAAACAAGTTTTTGAAAAAGGATTTTTTCATAGAAGCTTTTGAAACATTAGTTCTGAAAAAAAATTTCAAAAAGTAAAAAATCCAGATCCTCTCTCTCTCTCTCTTATTTTCCGAAAAAACTCAATTTGAATTTTTTTTATTTCAGCGAACACCGTTCATACAGCTGCAGTATCATCGAATGGATCTACTGAAATCAATTGATATTGTCTCCTTCGACAAATTGGAGAGAGCTGACGGGAAAAGTGATAAAGGACGGGCAGTGGTAAGTTTAATGTTTTCTATGGGATCTTATTCGAAGAAATCGATAATTGTTTGCAGGTCGCCGAAATTCGTGAAGCCGTCAAAGGAGAAAAGAAGTTTTATTGATTTGTCACTCGTCACTGCTTCCTAACTCCTCACCTTGTTTCTGGTCCTTCTTCTCAACATTTTTCCCCTAATTTTTTCGCGTTGAAACCTTCCCAATTTTTGAAATTGTTTTTGTGAAATCCCCGCTCCTCCCCCATTTTTTTTCGAATTTCGCGTCAACTTTGTCTATGACCCGAATTTCCTTTTTTCCGAACTCTTTTATTTTCTGATCCATGTGAATTTTCTGCTTTTCTCCGCCATTTCTTGGGGTTTTTACTGTGTATTTCCTATTTTACTGGTCTTCGGTATTGCCGGTTTTTTATTTTTACCCCCAGTTTGTCAAATTTGTGCCCCCGCCCGATACATTATTTGAATTATTTTTATCAATTCTTACATGACTCAAAGTCTAATGGGCCTATGCAGAATGATATTTTGTAATAAAAAAACATTTTTTTCCTATGCAGAAAAACGTCGAAAAAACAAAATATACAGTTTATCATTTTGAGTAGAGACAACGTGAAATTGAGAGAGTGCAGACAAAAAACCCATTTTATGTCTGCGCTCTCTCAATTTCACGTTGTATTTATTTTGTTTTTTCGACGTTTTTCTGCATAGGAAAAAAATGTTTTTTTATGTTTTTTTATTACAAAATATTATTCTGCATAGGCCCATAATTTTTTTGTCGGTTCCTGGAATTTATATTATTTATCTACACCCATTTTTTCACGATGTGCTTTATGATATTTTTTGTCTGTCAAAAATTCGCCAAATATTTTACATATAGTAAATGAATTTTTGGCTGTAACGCAGAACAGGCCCCCACCCATATCATTTTATGCCCCCGATTCGGAACTGTCTTACAGGCCCCCAACCACAGAAAAAAAAAACATTTTTGGGAGGGAAGAAAAAAATTCGATTATCGATTGCTGCTGAGGGGGCGGGGCTAAAAGTGGCAAACAACCGCACACATTTTTTGTTGTTTTGCGGCGCGAGTTTGTGTTTGTTTTTCTTCGATGGTTTAAAGGAGCGCGTATTTATTTTTTTTGGTCTTGTTGGGACTGGGATTGCCGGGCAAAAAATGGCGGTCGATTCAAAATCATCCAATCACATTTCATCGCGCTCAAGTTGGTTTCATCGATTTAGTTGAGGATATTGAACAATGGGTGAGGTTATTGCTGCGTTGAAATGCACCGCTGATGTAGATTCGCTTGGCAATGAGGAAGAACTTTCGAAAATTTTGATGAATGAAACTTATTTGCGAGGAAATGCGGTGTGCTCAAAGTGTCAGAAAACGATGACACTCCGTGTGAAAAGAGGAGTTTTGATAGTAAGTTTAAAATAACTTAATTGATAATTATGAAATCTTGTTTATTGCAGTGGAGATGCAGAGATTCGAAAAGTCGAGATTGTTCTACACAATCAGTTCGAAAAGGCTCGTTTTTTGAAAAATCGAAGTTAGAAATTGCAACAATCTTGAAGTTGGTTGTGCTACATGTCAAGAAGTTGGTTGAAGTTCGCCATTTAATCTTCAAATTGTGTATTTTTACAGGGCGTCGAACAAATTGATTGGTGAGGAATTGAAGTTAAGTCCTAACACGGTTATCGACTTCCGCAATTTCTTACGGGAAAACGCTTTAACGTAAGTAAAAGCAACACTCATAAACATTGAAATCGTACTGGTTTTTCAGTTTCAATCGACGAAATCATCAAAAAATCGGTGGAAATATGAGAGTTGTCCAAATTGACGAATCGGCGTTCCATTCAAGGAAATATGGTAGAGGAACTCAGCGAAAAGAGTTGAAATGGTTCTTTGGTGGTGAGCTTAAATTCTCAAAGTTTTTGAAGTAATTCAAATTTTCAAAGGAGTTTGCGCCGAAACAAGACAAATGTTTGGGGAATTCGTACCCGATCGATCTGCCAGAACGCTGTTAGCAGTTCTCGTGAAAAATGTCGAACTTGACACCGTGGTCCACTCGGATGATTGGACAGGCTACAGAAAACTGGGAGAAACTTTCGCTAAGCATGAAGTGGTTGTACATTCGAAGGAATTTGTGAGGTAAATATAGAACGATACAGTTTTTGTTGTATTGAATTTTTTTCAGTGAAAGCGGCGTTCACACAAATCTCATAGAAGCTATTTGGAATGTCTTGAAGTCACCATTAAAACAAGCACGCGGAACATCAGATGCGATGATCGATGGATATTTGGCGGAAGGTGTGATGCGCTACAATTCTGGTGATTTATATCAAGAAAAATTATTTGATACTCTCAAATTGGATTAGATTATATTGTTTATGATTTTCATCAAATAAAGGACAGTTTTATCGATGTTACTTTGTAAATGACGAAAGTAGTTTATATCTACTCATTATCTATTTAAAATGTTGATCACTTGTGTCTATTTTCTTTCTTATTTCTTTTCAAGTTGATGTCTTAGTTGGAACCGCCAGTTTGATTATTGTCTTAGTTCAAGCCCCCAAAATTGTCTTAGTTGAGGCCCCCAACTTAGACAATAATCTCAAAAAAGATCATTCTTTTATTTGGAACCGCCAGTTTGATAATTGTCTTAGTTCAGGCCCCCAAAATTGTCTTAGTTGAGGCCCCCTACTTGATAATTCTCTAAGTTGGGGGCCTCAACTAAGACAATTTTGGGGGCCTGAACTAAGACAATAATCTCAAACAAAAAATCATTCTTTTATTTGGAACCGCCACTTTGATTATTGTCTTAGTTCAGGCCCCCAACTTAGAGAATTATCAAGTTGGGGGCCTCAACTAAGAGAATTTTTTAGAGTGGGGGCCTGAACTAAGACAATTTTGGGGGCCTGAAACATAGTTCCGAATTGGGGGCATTAAATGATATGGGTGGGGTGCTGATCTAAGATTTAACCTGAGACCGTAGATGAGGCCCCCTCACTCAATAAAATTATCTTAGATGAGGCCCCCACAGTTAGTTGAGCCCCCCACTGAATAATAGACCCCCACCCAAGATGAAGCCCCCAAAATATTATTTTTCTCTGGGTGGGTCCAAAGTGGGGGCTTCTCCTGGGACGTGGGGACCTGGATTGGGGTGGGGGCCTGTTCTGCGTTTTACCCTGAATTTTTCTTTCTTCCAGAATAATTGTTTTTCTATTTTCAGAAAAAGTTTCAGAAAAAAAAAGCTCTGGAGAATAACAGACACTTTGGTCTCGAATTTCAAGTAACCTGAAATTTTCAGAAGATTGAAAAATATGTTTTTTGGATCACAGACACGGCCTCTGTAAACATCCAAAAGGCTTTTGGAATAATTTTGGAGGCTACAGAAGGCCTCTGGGAAAATCAAAAGGCTTTTGGAGATGTCTAAAGCTTATATTAAACTTTAGAAGCCTTTTGAAATCTTCTGCATCCTCCTAATATTCCCCGAAACCTTCTGAAATCTTCTGAAGCCTTCTGGGAGCTTCTGAAGTTTTCTGAAGCCTTCTGATGCTTGCTGAAGTCTTCTGAAGCTGTCTGAAGACTTCTGAACCCTTATGAAGCTTCATTGAGCTTCTTTGAGCCTTCTGAGGGCTTCTGAAGTTTTCTGAAGACTTCTGCAGCCTTCATAAGCCTCCTAAAGTTCTCTGAAATCTTCTGAAGTTGTGAAGTAGGAAAAGAATTGGAAGTCTCCAATTCATCTATTTTTCAAACACATTTTCAAATAGAAAATTTATGATGATAGAAAAATGAAAGAGTTGAACTTCACAGAAAAATACGAGTTTGAGATCGAGGATAAAAATACTATTCGGCAGATCGAAATGAGAAAAAAGCGATCTCAAAAAAATAATACGATGAAGATGAAGACAGAGGAACATAAGGATTGGGAAATAAAAACTGGGATCCAAATACAACTATTTTAGAGAAGAAAGACAAAATAAAAACCTCAAGAAACCAAAAATACGATGAAAAAATGAGAAGAAACTAACGGAAATCTTTTCAAATTTTTGATAAAAAATTTTCAAAAAAAAATCATTAGGGGGGACCCTTTTGTCAAAAAAATTATTTTTCGAATAGTGAAACTTTTATCAGTTCAACGTTATTTTTCACACTTGAAAACCTAAAATGCATATTTTCAGCAATTACCATCCATTTTGAAGCTGTTTATAATGTTTTAAAATGAAAAAACGTGAAAAAAAAAGTTTGAGACGTGAAAAAGTTTGACGTATTTTACACCAAAAAGACCGCCTGATTTTTCTCAAGCATATGTGATATTTTCCCGTTCACGTACTATTTTTTTGAAGCAATTTCGATTTTCTACGTCAAATAATAAGAGAACGTGTGACGTGAGAAAAAAGTTTGTATTCCAAAAATTCTTTCCAAACATCTTATTCATCTGATGCAATATCAAACATCGAAAAATATTGATTTTTAGAGGAGTTTTGATTTTCCACGTGTAAAAAGTACGTGAAAATAAACTTTTCACGTGAAACTAATTCCTCCAAAAAACTTGTCATACTCGATAACCTATATGTCCATATATTTATATTCCCTCAACTCTTATTACAACTCAATATTTTTAGATTCTTTTGGTAACGGGTCCCGACACGAAAATGTGTCGCCCCATTTTTTTGTTAAGTCGATGTCATCGTTCCTCGAAAAAACGTCATCTAGGTCAAATTTTGCTCATTTTCTGCTCATTTTGTCGCTCTTCCCGGTGAGTTTTTTTCTACTTCTAGTCATCTATAGCTATCAAAAAATATACATTTCGCTTCATTTTTTCACGCTCTTTTTCGATTTTCGCACTTTCAGCGCGTCTAACTCTTTCTAAAAAGCTGAAAATCGCGTTTAAAGTTAGGAATTTGACATTTTTCCTCGTTTTTGACTGAAAATTCAATATTCCAGCGATGCTTTCTTTACAACAATCCGCTCAACTCGCAACGATGAAAAACTTCCTCGTCCAATGTCGAGAAAATGGTTATGGGAATGTTAGAGAAGGAATTAGAGCAAATTATGATGTGTTCGTAGATGATTTATTGGCTATGGATTGTAATAATGAGGAGGATTTCAATCGTTTCTGCGGTCAATTTCGCACAATTATGGAGGGAATTCAAATGTTCAACCCCAACTTGGTCATTCCGCAACTATTTCAATGGAATGAATTCAACCCGAATACTCTTCCCTAATTCTCATTGATTTTTTATGAATTTAATAAATCGATTTTGTTCAAAAATATTGTTGTTATTTATCGCAATTTCAGCTGATTTCGAGAAAATCAGTGGAAGAACAACTTCTTGAAGTGAAAACAAAAACTCAGAGAGTGTCTTTCTTTGAAGAGACGCAGACAAAATTCGACAAAACCTTTCAAATCTCAAAAAATTCTTGTTAGATTTCCCCTCTGTTTTTGCTAATGCAAGAATGGTTTTTGTAATACAGCCATCTTTTTGCTACTCTTCCAGAGCAACAAAAAAGATTTTTGTATCACAAAAACCAAACTTGCTTGAGCAATCGTTTTCTTTTTTTTAGGAGTATATTCCCTATTTTATCGCATTTTACAAACCGTCTCCCCTCTTATTCTTTTGCGCGCGCCGACAACTAACAGGCACCGCGCCTCTCTATTTTCAGCATGCAAAGTGGGCGGGGCAAGCCGTCTGGTTCGACTCCTCTCGCCGCCTATTTTTTTTATTTTAATTATTTTTTAAAAATTGTTACAATCTGATATTTACGCTTACAATTAAACACTAGATGATTAAAAAAATAAATCACAATTTCAAATTTAAAAAAAACAAAAAGATGTTTTTGCAGTACAAAATGCGCAATTCTGCTTGCTAAAACATGAGGTTCGGACACTATGTAGTTAGACACCATTTTAGTCTCATACATGCGAATTTTATCAATAGGGCGTACTTTCATTTTAATTTTAATTTTCTAGTTTTTGTTTTTCGAACATTTTTTATTCACGTATTTTTTGTTGTTTTTTCATGAATTTGATTGGGCAATTGGGTGTGTGAAAGAGAATTTTTAATATCTAGAGATGTAAAGGAAACTGAAGAAATGGAAAATTAACATTAAGAAAATATTTCAAAAAAAAAATGAAAATTTGGATTATTTATTTCGAAAGTGGGCCAATTTTCATCATACTCTATATGAAAATCCTCCAAGAATATCACAACTCCTTGAAGCAAAAATTTAAAAAACTTGAGTTTTTATTTTTTTTTTCACGATTTCCAGACAACGAAATTATCTACACGGTTGTTTTTTGATTTGTTTTGATGCACAGTGTTTTGCGTTTTAAAAAACTGCCATCTTTTTATAGAAAACTTTTGAAATATTTCAGTATTTACACTTTGAAAGTAATGACTTTTTGTTTTCAAGAACATGGTTCAAGTTCCTATTTTTGTACTAGTAATTTGCCATTTTGTCTGTTTGAAATTCTAACAAGTTATCTGCCTGTTAGACTTCAGCATAATCTCATCAGAATGGTTCATTTGATTCTTGGATTTGAAGATCAATAATAAATTCAGTGATCAGTTAGGCAGCCTTTTTTTAATAGTATTAATTTTTAAAAGTAGTTCACAAGCTATGTTACAGCTCATTCTGTATTCAGAAATGAGACAGGCCTAACCATTGTTGTGAACTACAATTAATACTAACGGCACATATGATCACTGAATTTTGAAGGCGGTAAGACCACCCATGAAGCTTCCTATTCGAAGCTTCTTAGGTGGTCTTGGGGCCAATTTGAAATTTTGAAAATTTGAGGAAAAGCTGTCTTACTGCCTTAAAATAGTACGTAGACATTTTAATTTTATAAATTAAAATTATTTATTCTGAATTCATTGGAAGTTAGATATCAAGAAAGTTAGTTATCCTAACATTCTACTAGCACTCAAATTACGCGTTGCTCCAAAAAAATGCCAACTACAGATTTCGAAAACAAAAAATCTGGAGAAACACAGAATTCACCTGATGAATGTTTGTTGAATCACTTCTTCACATAAACAGCTTCATCGTTGCTCCAGAGAAAAAAATCGAGAAGCATTTGAATTCGACGTTGTTGCACTAAACCAAAATCCAAACAAATATGACATGCCAGATAGATTTTCGTGAGCTCTCATTCTCGATATCAAATTTTCAACCAAAGTTCCTCTTTCCATCCCGATTTCCCTGCAAAAATATCGATTAACCAAAACTAAAATATCATAAAAATTACCTCCATTTTCCCGGCGTCCTTTTTCCTGCAAACATAATTTATTGATCGAAAAAGGCGTGTTTATTTCCCCTTCCCCTTTTCCTCAAAAAAGCGGCAGAGAAACGGGTGAGGAAACACGAGATAGTGAGGAAATATGAGAGAGCGGGAAGAGAAAAGAGTCCAGGCTAGAGAAAATCTCCTCTTGCATACCTTATCATACACTTGACTGAGTATCAAATGTTTAGTGTGTGCGTGTGTCGGCAGCCAAATTTTTCGCGCCATTCCAAATCATTGGCGTCCTTTTTATTTTCTAGTGTCCTTATTTTTTCTGTTTTTTCTCTTTTTTGTGGATATTTCGCCAAAATTTGTTGTAAATCTATATTTTTTTGGATTTTTTAAAGGGATTTTTGTGATGCAATCACCATTCTCTGCGTTGTGGTCCAGAAGTTTTCCAGAAAACTGGAAATGAAGCGCGTGACCGTGACGTGTTCTATCTCTGAAAGTTTTCTTTTAGTGATTTTCTTCCCACAAACCTGTCTTCAAAATTCTGAATCTTATTTTAAATGCGTTTTAAAAATCCCTGTTATTGAAATGAAAAAAAAAACAATTTTCAGGTTTGTACAGTTTGTCTACCACCAATTTGTCTGCCACCAAGTCAGCTTCAAGTTAAACGATGGTTAGAAGATCAAGCCGACTTAGTGTAAGTATTATTTTCTGGTTACAAATCTGAATGTTTGAAAATTCTTTCAAAAGTGTCATTGAATTTTTTTTTAGAAAAAAATCAAATCAATTGTTTTCCAAAAGAAATTACATACCATAATTCATCGGATTTTTTTCAGAAATCCACTAACTCACAGAATGATGCTGCAGATCAAGGATCTAGTTCGTCACAGAAACCTGAAACATCGAACGAAGCTGAGGGAAATCCAACTCTTGAAAATGAATTGGGCGTTGATTCGAACAGAGAACAAGCAAGTTCGACAAGAAGATTGAGGCAAAGAAGGGTTGTTCGAAATGCAACAAATATTGATAATGCGGCCCAAGTGAGTTTATTCTCCAAATTTCAATCTGATGAATTTGAAATAATGAGCCCATGCAGATTAAAATTTTGTAATAAAAAACACAATGCAAAAAGTGAGTAGAGACAACGTGAAATTGAGAGATCAGAGAGAGAATAATCAATTTTTCCAACAAAAAATTGTCTGTCTGCGCACTCTCAATTTCGTGTTGTCTCTACTCGAAATCAACTGTATATTTTGTTTTTCGACGTTAGGAAAAATTAGTTCCAGGATTTCAACCAGGATTTTCAATGAACGAGAAAAATTGTTCAATTTTAATTTTCAGATTCCAACAAGTTCGAGTCGAAAACGCTCGAGAAGTGCTCAATCAAACTCTGAAGTTGCTCCAAAAATTGGCCGAAAAGCAGCAGAGGAAAACCAACAAAACGGCGAAGAAGTTCAAAATTTGGAAGATGAAGGAGATCCGGAAGATGAGTTTATTGAATTTGAGGAAGATGAAGAGGAGGGAGCTGAAATTAATGCTGAATTTGTTCGGGTTAGTTTATTTGATATATATTATTTGCATGATAAATCTGAATTATTTCAGCGCTTTTTGACTCGTGCCATGGACCGAAACCCACGTATTTTTGGAGATGTTTTAAATCCTGATCATTTGGTGGTAAGTTTTGTTTTCTGAATTCAATTCTTCTCATAAAAACTTCAATTATTTCAGGAATATACAATGGAATATTTTACCCAAAATCCGAATGTTTTTCGACGTGTTTGTTGGAATTTAGAGGCGCTAAAACAATGGTGCAATCGCCAATTTGTCATGGGTGTTGCGAATTGGATTGATTTTAACAGAGATCCGGAAAGTAGTCAAATTGAAGATCTCAATCAAGGAAAATATGAAGTGGAAATTGGAGGTAAGCATTCGTGCATTATTTAAAAAAAACATATTTTCAATGTTTTTCCTTTTTCCAACAATTTTTTTCAGAGGATGGTACCTTCATCGCAACTCCATTGGAGCCGTACCCGGCAATTTTTCCACAACATATCAATCAACGGCTCCAAGAACGAGAAGATATGCGCCAAGATTTTGCCGAAGCGAGAGAATTGGTTAGTCCTGAATCGAATTTTGAAATTAGTTCTAGACTTTTTCTTTTCTCGCTTTCCAAATTTCAACTGAAATTTCAAAATTTCGCTAGAATCAAGCTTTTCCAATTTTTGATAAAAGACTCTTAAGCTAAACATCCACAGAGAATCTTAAACATTTTTTTCAAACTCAAATGTTTTCAGATCCGCGCTAGAAGCTTTAAAGAGATGATGGATCATATGGTTGAAAGAAACCGGCGACGCCGAGAAGAATTGGAGCGCATGATGAGAGGTCGGGTTTGAAGTCCTCGAAGTTTGAAATGTTGCTCTTTGGTGATTCTCAATATTCTTTGTTCTCGGTGTTTACCAATGATTTGTTACTGTATTTGTTACCCATCAATTTTATTGTTTTTTTTTCGCCCCAATTTTTTTCCTTTTATCGGTTTTGGTGAAGTAATTCCACCAAAACCGATCATTTTGTTCTGTAAAGTATCCCAAACCCCCCCCCTCCCCATTTTTCCCACGGTTTTGGTGAAGTAATTCCACCTAAACCGAATTTTACTGTGATTCACCCGGTGGTATGTCTCTTCAAAAAAGCTGGTTGGCACGTTATTCGCCTAACCAGCATGTCAAATTCATAATTTTGTTTTTCCCGGTTTTTCACAACTCAAATACATTTATTTTTTACCCCACAAATACATTTATTTTTTTTTGTCTGAAAATCTTTTAAATTTTGAAACTGCTGAAACTTTTATATCATAAATTTTTGACCATTTTTTGTACTGTATCTAATTTTTGTTATCATAAACAAAGCAAATTTCTTTAAAGATCATGTATTTATTTTGGAACAGATATGTTTTCAGTGTGCTTTATTGTTAGTGAAAGGCTGTTAGCTCATGAAAATGACATATTTCTTGTGTCATGAATACAATGCTAGAGCAAAAAAAGAATATTTGAACCATTTTCTTGAGAATAACGAGACCGAAAGTGATTCTAAATGAAAATAATAAACAGTTTTTAAATTTTTCTGTAAAAATTAACCTCTTTATAAAATCGCGTGCATTTCTCATTGGAAATCTTTTGAATACTCTGTGAAAAAAATATATTTTTTTAATAAACTTTTTTCGTTCAAAAATTTGTAAATCTGGAAGGTCTTCCAGTTTTACAAATCCATCATTTTCGAGCCAAATTTCAAGATTTTAGGCTTAAATTGATTGAAATTCATATGTTGAGCATTTATTGAATACTCTCTGAAGAAAATACTATTTTTTTAAATCAATTTTTTTTCGTTCAAAAATTTGTATATCTGGAAGGTCTTCCAGTTTTACAAATCCATCATTATCGAGCCAAATTTCAAGATTTTAGGCTTAAATTGATTGAAATTCATATGTTGAGCATTTATTGAATACTCTCTGAAGAAAATACTATTTTTTTAAATCAATTTTTTTTCGTTCAAAAATTTGTATATCTGGAAGGTCTTCCAGTTTTACAAATCCATCATTATCGAGCCAAATTTCAAGATTTTAGGCTTAAATTGATTGAAATTCATATGTTGAGCATTTATTGAATACTCTCTGAAGAAAATACTATTTTTTTAAATCAATTTTTTTCGTTCAAAAATTTGTATATCTGGAAGGTCTTCCAGTTTTACAAATCCATCATTATCGAGCCAAATTTCAAGATTTTAGGCTTAAATTGATTGAAATTCATATGTTGAGCATTTATTGAATACTGTCTGAAGAAAATACTTTTTTTTTAATCAACTTTTTTTTTGCGTTCAAAAATTTGTAAATCTGGAAGGTCTTCCAGTTTTACAAATCCATAATTATCGAACCAAATTTAAAGATTTTAGGCTTAAATTGATTGCAATTCATTTGTTGAGCATTTATTGAACATTGTCTAAAGAAAATACTATTTTTTTAATCAACTTTTTTTTTGTTCAAAAATTTGTAAATCTGGAAGGTCTTCCAGTTTTACAAATCCATAATTATCGAACCAAATTTCAAGATTTTAGGCTAAAATTGATTGAAATTCATATGTTGAGCATTAATTGAATACTCTCTGAAGAAAATACTATTACATATTTACACTAGCATTCTTTTATCATTTCATTGTTTGGATAAAACTAATTTTCATAACTTCTTTTGAGAAAAAAAAGAGCACTTTTCAAATCAAAAAAAAATTTATTAAAATCATCGGATAAAAATTAATACGTGGAGAAATGATAAAACTTTTGGTACGGCATAGAGAAATAACAATAAAAACTATATTTTTGATTGGGAAAAAACAAAAAGAACAAATAGGGAGAGGAAAAAGGGAGGAAAATTGGAAAAATTCCTTTTTAATTGCATATAACAAGATATTTCTGGTGAGGAGAAGATTGATAAAATGAAAATTAAAAATTCATTCATTTCTGCTTGCATTCAATGTTCCCGAAGTGGTTGGCTTCTCTTCGTTGAGTTGTTCAGATTGTTTTGCAGTTTCAGAAACATCAGTCAATGTGCCACCAATTTTCTCGGCATTTTTTGGAACAGCAAACTTTGCGATCTGAAAAAAAATATTGGCTGAATGTTTTAAAATCCCCAGATATATTTAACAAAAAAAAAATAATTACCTGCGGTTTCATTTCATATCTGTGTGGAGAACTTGGCACAATATTCCGAGTTTCATCAAATACAACACTTCCAACACTCTCATTTTCCTTCTTGATTGATTTTTTGGCAAATCCAGAGCAAGTTCCTTCGACGTTTGAAGAATTTGTTGCAGTCTGTTGATTTTGTGCCGCAAAATTGAATGTGACTGGTTTTCTTTCATTTTGAACTTTCAAATGTTCGAAACTTCTTGGCGAATTTGCAAAACCCTTTCCAATTCCACCATATTCAAAATCGTCAGCACTTTCGACTTCTATTTTGATTGATTTTCCTGCAAATCCAGAGAAAGAATTTGTTGGATTCTGTCCAGATTGTGTTGCGTGATTGAATGAGGCTGGCTGACTTTCATTTTGAATGTTCAAATGTTCGGAAGATGCCGGAAAACTTTTTTGCATATTTAATTCTTGGTGGAGTTGTTCCGAGTGTTGTGCAGTTTTATCAGTCGATGTTCCATAAACTTTGGCGAAATTTTCTGGATAAGCTAACTTCGCAATCTGAAAAAGTATTGGCTAAATGTTTTATAAAGCTGAATGATGTAATATATCTAATGGGGTGATTCAGGTTGAAAAAAAAATAATAAAAAAACATTTTTTGACAAAAAAATTCGATTCAGCAAATGTCAAAAAACTATATTTTTTTCTTATTTTTTGACATTTTTTTCCACACAAAAATGAAAAATATCTCGCAGCGAAAATATTGCAATGTAAAAAAATGTCAAAAAATAAGAAAAAAATATAGTTTTTTGACATTTGCTGAATCGAAATTTTTTGTCAAAAAATGTTTTTTTATTATTTTTTTTTCAACCTGAATCACCCCATAACAAAAAAAAATTTACCTGTGGCTTTATGTCATAACTTCTTGGTGAATTCACAAAACCCTTCTGATTTCCACCATATTCAAATTCGTCAACACATTCGACTTCCGTCTTGATTGCTTTTCCTGCAAATTCAGACAGAGCATTTGTTGGATTCTGTCCAGATTGTGTTTCATAATTGAATGAGACCGGCTGACTTTCATTTTGAATATTCAAATGTTCGGAAGATGCTAGCAAACTCTTTTGCATATTTGATTCTTGGTGGAGTTGTTCCGAGTGTTTTGCAGTTTCATCAGTCGATTTTCCATAAACTTTGGCAAAATTTTCTGGATAAGCTAACTTCGCAATCTGAAAAAATATTGGCTAAATGTTTTATACAACAAAAAAATTGTTACCTGTGGCTTTATGTCAAAACTTCTTGTCGAATTTGCAAAACCCTTTTGATTTCCAACATTTTCAAACTCGACAACACATTCGACTTCCTTCTTGATTGATTTTCCGGCAAATTCAGAGAAAGCATTTGTTGGATTTGGTCGAGTTTGTGTTTCGAGTTTGAATGAGACTCTCTTTCGTTCATTTTGAACATTCAAATTTTCGGATGTTGACGGGAGATTCTTCTGCATATTTGTTTCTGCATGGAGTTGTTCCGATTGATTTGTAGTTGAAGCAATATCAACATTTGTGAATTCAGATGAGACGGCTACTTTTGACGATCCCGTTGTGATTTGTTCAGCAGCTTTAGCAAAGCTGAATACAACTTTTTCAGCCTCACGGGGAACTGCCAAATTTTTCGACGAAGACGATTCCAATTTCATCGGTTTTATGGTGAATCCAGATGTTGCTTCTTGAAAATGTGGATCTCTCCAAGTTGAACATTTGCTTGACGAGCTACCCATTTCTGGAATAATTTTTTTTTTTATTTTTAAAAGTTTCGGAAATCTAGGATTCTTTTTTTGAGCTTTCTAGAAAATCTAGAAAAATCCAAAAAGATTTTTCAAGCCGCCAAGATCTAAAAAAATTTCTCACCTGAATTCGGCTGATCTTCCTCCTGTTTCCAATATCCAAAACGCTTCAAAGGTGTTTCGAGATGGCACAAAGTTGGTTTTCCCGGAACATCTTGTGGAAAAGCTTCTGAAGATGAGGCTGATCTTTCAGCAGAACCACCAGATTTTACATTGGGACGCTCGGATTTTATCGGTGTCGTGTTCAACGAAACTGACAAACTGTTTCTCCATCTTGAATACGTTTCGGATGATTCATCAATTTCTGGAAAATATAATTTTTGTTTTAAAAAACTGTGGGAGAAATCTAGGATTCTTTTTAGAACTCTCTAGAAAACCTAGAAAAATCAAAAAAGTTTAGGAATTGTTTCAGAATTTTTTAGAAGCCCGGAAACTATTTGGAGGATTATTGGGAAGCTCGAAAAAATCTAAAAGGCTTGGAGAATTTTCTGTAAGTTCAAGAACCTTTTCTTTAGCATTCTGAAAAAAATCAGAGGCTCTAGGAATTTTTCAATAATATTTAGAAGCCCGCAAAAAGTTCGTATATTTTCAGAACCCTCTCTAGAAAAATGCCTCACCTGAGTCCAATACACGATTATCCTTGTTGAATTTTCCAACAGATTTGGACGCTCCAGCAGTTTTTTCAAGATCAGCCAAAGTGCCTTCATTTTTACAACTTTTGCGAATTGTACTCGATGAGGACTCAGATTGTTCCGAATTATGATCAGCCTTGTATTGTGGTCTCTCGATCTTTCTGATTTTCATTGGTGACTCCAAACTTTCAAATCGTTGTGTTCCGGAAGTACTTTGATCCCACCGCGAGTCTCGATTCTGAAAAAAAACTTATTGATTTTTTAATTGTAGTTGAAATCTGATCTCATAAAAAATCTAGATCTTTTTTTTTTGAGTCATCTAGAATCTAGGAAAGTCAAACATTCAAAAAATATCTCATCTCTAAGCTCATGTTCTAAATTTCCTGCTTAAGCATTTTCCCTATTCAAAAAAAACCAGAAAATTTACCTTAAAATCCAAACTCTTTTGTGTTTTGTGTCTACCAGATGGCATAAGCTTATGTCCGCGTGGTTGTTCAGTATGTCTCACATCACTCGATTCGCCAGTAAAATCGCCAAAATTTTTCGGGAGTTCAAAGTTTGCGGCCTGAAAAAAAACATAATTTTTATTTATAATATGGAAAATGCTATTTTTTTGAGAGTTTTTTCTGAACTAAAAATAAATTTCAAAATCAAAAATCGTTACCTTAGCTTCAGCCTCAAGCTTTCTTCGATCACTTGCCGACATTCCCCAAGGTGCTGCCAATCTCATAGCCAAGTCCATATGTTCGGATTGCAGTGGTTCAGGTCGTGGGATATCACCATAAAAATAACCATGAACTGCTGTTGAATGAACTTCGTTCTGCAAAAAAAATGTATCGATTTTGTTTGAAATTCAGCAATTTTTCAGACAAAAATGTCAAATTTTTACCTGGCGAGCACGTTTTCGAGCTTTTCTGGCGGCTTTGTTAGCCTTGCGTCTGTCTTGGCGAGCTCTAGCTCTTCTGAATTCCCAAGAACTATTCTGAAAAAAATAATTTTATGATTTTCATTTCATAAAAACAGAAATAACTCACCTCTGGCGTAAGAATACGTATATCTTCCACAGGATACCCAACCTGATTGTTGTCTGAAGACGATGGCTGGTCGTTAGACTGTGAACGTTCCATTTTGAGAGAATGTAGAGTACGATGTGATATAGTTTTACCTGAAAAAATTCTTGAAGTTTCTAAAGACTTCCGGAAAAAAATGAAGGAAAAAACGAGAAAACATGAAAAAATCGCGAAGAAGAACCTAAACAAAAATAAAATGTAGAGAAAAAGAAAGCAAAATTTCAAAAATACTACCTACAATGTATAAATCTGCTCCCTTTTTCACTCTGGAATATCAATAAGCAAAAAAAACTTCTTGAAAATTCCAAAAATTCACATTTTCGGTTGAAAAACGTTAAAAAAATAAAGAAAATTCATAAAATTTCAAAAAACACAGGGGTTTTCATCGGAAATAATCAATATTCTTGTCTAAACTCTTAAAAACCTAATCTATTATGCATAAAAGTGAATGAGAAATATAAACAAGAAAAAAAAACAAGAAAAAACAAAAAAACAATGTGTGATGACAAAATAAATTGAATACTCCCCATCCCTCAAGGGTGTGCGACAGAGCGCGGTTGCTTGATTGAAAAGGGGGAGAGAAAAAATAAAAGAGGCAACAGAGAAAGAAAGAAAAGAGAAAACAGAAATTATTTGAGAAGGAGAGAATGTTTTGAATTGCTGAAAAACATTGCTGAAAAATTGTTAAGGTTGGATTTTCAAGAAAAAACTGATAAAAACAGATTGTGAATTTTTTTTGAAACGTATAAAGAATTTGGTGAAAATAAAATATTGTGAAAAAAAAATGCTGAGTGGAGGAAATCTTGAAATTGAACTGTTGAGAACAAAAATTGAGATTTTCACACGACCTTTCGAAGTTCGTTGAGAAATTCAAAATCACTTTTAGAAATCTATGAACTTCTCAAATCAGTTTTGGAAATACATAGAGAATTTCATCAATAAAATCAGTTGGATCTTTGAAACTCACGAAAATCTGGATTTTCCAGATATTTCTTAAAAAAATCTGAAAAGAAAAATGGTGGAATTATGTGTGTGGATGAAATTTTACCTGAAATTTTTGAAGAAAAAAAAAACAATTTCCGTTATACAACTTATTTTCAAAAAATCAGTAGCGGACATATTACGGGTTGAGGCGTGTGATATTATTCAACACAGTGGGATGGAGATAAATATATGTTGGATAGACCCCAGAGGAGTCTACGCACGCATATGGAACCAAAAATAGTTGGAGAGGGCTCTCAGGCGGGGATGGTGGGAGTTGGGGAAGAACAACAGCATCACTGGATGTGAAGACGGTACTTTTTTTTCTGAAAAAGAAATTTTCAGAGAAAAATGATTCAAAAAAACTAACCAATTTTTGTTAGCAATTCTTTGGAATATTTTTTCTAGAGACCTTCGGGTCATTAGGGAAATAGAGCATGTTATAAATAATGAACACAATATTTATGATGAGCATGTATAAGGGGGCGTGGCCAATGCGGTTTAGATCTAACACTTTTTTGGGGAAAAGGTAAATATTGGAAGTATAATTCATAGGAATTGGGAAAATGTTTGATGTTTCCGTTGTTTACATAACAAATAATATCTACATGTATCTGCAATTTTTCTGTGAAATTTTTCTGAAAATTTTCGATTTTCTCTAGTCGAATATGGAAGATGTTAAGAGTACTTGAGAATAATTCACACATTTTTTCGGGAGATTATTACATATATTCACAAATTTTTGGGAAGGTTTTTCAAATATTTTCCTTGTCAATCGACGTTCAGAAACTTCTAGAAAATCATTTTCAAAATTTTAAATCGGATTTAGAAGATCAGATTCTGAATTTCAGTGAGATGTTCAACATCAACTACAGGATATTTGAACATTGTCCTTGAAAACAAAGAGTCAGTGCTTTCAAAGTGTGATTACTGAGCATTTTTGAAAGTTTTCTATAACAATGTTGCAATTTGAGAAAACACAAAAAATCATACATCAAAACAAACAAAAAAACAACCGTGAAGGTATTTTTTTATGTGGAAAACGTGAAAGAAACAGAAAAAATGGTGAAAAAAAAGAGAAAAAATAATCGGGTGCGAGAAAATACAGGATGTCTGCGTCTCTTCAAACAAACACACACTCTCTCACCACCCATATTTACAACTTTTGCTTCAAGGAGTCGTGAATTTCATGATAAAAATTGGCTCCAGAAAATTCCTATTAATCCTCGTTTCCACTTTTTCTGAAGACTCAATTTTCTATTTCTTCAGTTTTTCTTTTTTTCAAAAATTGAAAAAAAAGAATTGCGCATTTTGTACAGCAAAATTGCGATAAATCTCCTGAGTTCTGCCAAAAAAATCTTGTTTTTTTTTTTAATTTTCAATTGTGATTTGATTTTTGTAATCGTTCAGAGTTTAATTGTAAGCGTAAATATCACATTGAATAGAACAAGCACATTTTTTCTAGATAAAAAACAAAAAAAAAACAACAGGCGGCGAGAGGAGTCGAACCAGACGGTTTGCCCCGCCCACTTTGCATGCTGAAAATAGAGAGGCGCGGTGCCTGTTAGTTGTCGGCGCGCGCAAAAGAATAAGAGGGGAGAAGGTTTACAAAATGCGATAAACAATTCAAAACATAGTCAAAAAAAAATGAAAACGATGCTCAAGCAAGTTTGGTTTTTGTGATACAAAAATCTTTTTTGTTGCTCTCGAAGAGTAGCGAAAAGATGGCTGTATTACAATGACCATTCTTGCAATGCGAAAAAAGAGGGGAAATCTAACAAGATTTTTTTGAGATTTTAAAAGTTGAGAAAATTGTGTTAACAATGCGAAGGAAAGCTGTAATAAAAACATATTTCATCACAAAATGAAGTATTTTGTTGCTGGAAACTCATTGTAAAGGCAAAAAAAACTTTGAAAAAAATTAGACAACCTAATTTATGTTTTTTCAATTTATTATTAAAAAGGTATATATTTTTTTATTTCAATGCTTTTATGAATAAACATACATATCTGATTATTTGACACTGGACAAATTGAGACAAAGTAGGAAAAAGTTTTAGTATAAAACTATCGAAAATCAACCGAAAATTGTGTTACTTGTACCAAATGTAAGAAAAAAGGTAAATATAAATTTTACGACAATTTCCATTCAAATTCATGAAAAAACAACAAAAAATACGTGAAGGAAACATCTTCGAAAAAGAAAAACAAGAAAATAGTGGGAATGCGCCCTATTGATAAAAGTAGCATGTCTGGCACTCTCTCAAAAATGTGTGTGTTGGGTTGTTGTTGTTTTATTGTTGGACTAAAGTGAGACTTCTCTGCGTCTCTCTCACAATACTCTGCTTCTTTTTACTTTTTTTTGCCGGGTGTTCGGGGTGACTTGTCATCATTATTTTTTAATTTCATTTTAGTAAGCTTTGTTTTTTTTAAAATTTTTTTTGTTTCGCTTATAATTCATTCATGATTGGAGAAAAATCACTTGAATTGTAAATTTTTTTTCATATATCAGACATTTTCAGAATGAGTTCACCTCAAGCTGTTCAACCACTCACAGCATTTGAATATCAAATAATCAATAATGCTCAAAATGCAGTTACGGAAGCGCAAGAAATTGTCAAAGTGAGTTTTTTGAAGCCTGAAATTATCACCAAAAATACCTGAATTTTTTACAGATCGTTGAAAATCGACTGATCGCTCCTATGCACTTTTCAAATAGGAAACTCACGTTTCAATTAGCGAGCAAAGTGTTCTATCAGGCTTCTATGTTTGATTTTATTCTCGTAAGTTTTCTAAAAAAATCAAGAACATAATATTATTTTTTTCAGGTAAGAGTTTTTCAAGCTATTTCAAAGGACCCACAAGATAACGCCGCTCGGGAATATTTGGAACAAGTCAACATGGAGATTGGCTTTAATCAACACATTCTGATGGAGGTATTTTTTTTTGTTTTCATAGATTTTTTGCCAGTCGAAAAAAAAAATTTCAATTAGAATTTAGAAAAAAAAAGTATTCTTAAGCTTTGTAGGCTCAACTTTGAAAACATTCGAACTCATAAATATTCTATTTCAGCATTTCTCCGCCTTCAAAGAAAGTGATGCGTATTTCACATGGTCGTCATAATTTTCTCATGTTTACCCAGTTTTTTTGTAAAAAAAATGTGATCTGTTTCAGTGTTTCTTGTTAGATTATTTTTTTTACCTGCTCCCCAAAAAATTTGTTCTTTAAAAATTTGTAAATTTTCGTTCAACCTTTGTTATTTCATATTAACCACACTCAAAAATCTGTTACTTTTTTATCAATTTAATAAACTGATTTTTTTAAAGTCGATATCTCATCTTAACGAAATTTCAGAGCTTAACTGTGTTGTTTTTTTTCTTTTTTGTTTTGGTTGTTTTCCTTTTAACCACGCCTTTCTCAATCAATAAATTGGTTTGCAGGTCTGTCTGCGTCTCGTTTTTGTTTCTCTCTCTCTCACACACACACATGCCACCTTCCTTCTTTTTCTTTCTCTTTCTCTTCTTTTTTTTATGTTTGTGTTTGTGTTTGTTTTCTTTCCTAATCACGCCTTTTTCGATCAATAAATTGGTTTCCTGGGAAAAGGACGCCGAGAAAATGGACTCCGGATGCGATTCAAATGGATGGAGCAAACTGTGGACATCGACAAAGTTTTGCAGGTAATTTTTATGATATTTTAGTTCGGCAACACAATTTTCCCGTTGGTTGATTGATATTTTTTCAGGAGACAAAATTTGCGTCGGCAGAAAAGAATCGAGGATTTTTGAATTTTGAGAAGAAGATGATGGATTTGGTGTTCAGTGCAGTTGGGTTTAAAGATGGAGAAGCTCGACCAAGTTCTACAGCTCGAATCGGATGATTTTGACAGAGTTCTGCACAGCTTTCTGCGAATTGATGACGTCTACACGATTTCCAGAAGATTAGAGATGATCAACGAGGATTTTCTGATGGACTTTCCCACGATTTTCTTGATTGCACGTAGTGTTGTTGGTGATTGATGCAAGGACTCATGGATTTTACACGATGTGTTGTTTATGACGTGGATTGGTGCCAATTTCCTTGGAGAATTGCGATGATTTTCAATGACAAGGATATTCAGAATGAAGCTGGCTGGGAAGACCTCAGAATTATGAAGAGACTGCAGGATTTCTGATCGCTGGAAGATTATCAAGAAAAGTTCAAGAATAGAAGCGATTCAATGAAGTTGATCAGGTAAATTTGTTATTTTTCCAGATTTTTTTATTCGCTGGTAGAATATTTGGAGCATTAAAATATCCAATGCTTTCGATTTTCTACCAACGCTGAATCAAAAATAACTGTACTTTTTTCCCCTCAAAATTCAGTGAATATATGTGCCGTTAGTATTAATTGTAGTTCACAACAATGGTTAGGCCTGTCTCATTTTTTGAAAAAAAATGAGCTGTAACATAGCTTGTGAACTACACTTAAAAAATTAATACTATTTAAATAAGGCTGCCTAACTGTTCACTGAATTCTTTGTTGATATTCAATAAGATCTAAAAAAATCGAACTGAACCCATGTAATTATTTTATTCCAGCATTGGCGAAATTTTCAAGCCATCGATCAAATGGTTTTTTTCGTCATGTTGAACCCGTTAATCTGTATATCCAATTTTTTATCGAAATTTCTTCATTTATTGACTAGGGGCTGTTAGCTTCCAGGCGTAACAGTCTTCTCATTTATTTCAGTTTCACTTTTTTCTGTGATTATCGTCCACAGAACATTGACTTACAATTAGATTTATAGAAAATTTCAAGTTTTTTGATCAAAAAATGAAACCCACCAAAATTAAAATTTTGCTTTTGGTGGGTTTCTAATGAAAAAACCCAGTAAAATTAAAATTTTGCTTTTGGTTTTTTTGGTGGGTTTTTTCATTAGAAACCCACCAAAATTAAAATTTTAATTTTTCTGGGTTTTTTTCATTAGAAACCCACCAAAAGCAAAATTTTAATTTTTCTGGGTTTTTTTTCATTAGAAACCCACCAAAAGCAAAATTTTAAATTTTCTGGGTTTTTTTCATTAGAAACCCACCAAAAGCAAAATTTTAATTTTTCTGGGTTTTTTTCATTAGAAACCCACCAAAAGCAAAATTTTAAATTTTCTGGGTTTTTTTCATTAGAAACCCACCAAAAGCAAAATTTTAATTTTTCTGGGTTTTTTTCATTAGACTAGGAGCTTTCAGCTCCCAGGCGTAACAGTCTCCTTTTTTAAAACAAATATTTTTTCTCACGTCAAAAATTTTTCTTCGAGCATTTCTAAGCGAATTAATGGTCATTTCTTGTGTCAGAAATGGTCAAGTGGTTAGATCACGTGTTTTTTGTTCAGAAGGTCCAGGATCGGATCCTTTTGGACGTTCGCGGTTGTATGATTTTCGGAAAAAATGGGAAATGTCCAAAATTGCGACATTTGAAAAATGAGAACAGGGGGACCCCATTGAAAAATCCTTCTTCCATCGAGACACCACCCAACCGGGATTTTATTAAAAAGGTAGAAACCCACCAAAAGCAAAATTTTAAATTTTCTGGGTTTTTTTCATTAGAAACCCACCAAAAGCAAAATTTTAATTTTTCTGGGTTTTTTTCATTAGAAACCCACCAAAAGCAAAATTTTAATTTTTTCTGGGTTTTTTTCATTAGAAACCCACCAAAAGCAAAATTTTAATTTTTCTGGGTTTTTTTCATTAGAAACCCACCAAAAGCAAAATTTTAATTTTTCTGGGTTTTTTTCATTAGAAACCCACCAAAAGCAAAATTTTAATTTTTCTGGGTTTTTTTCATTAGAAACCCACCAAAAGCAAAATTTTAATTTTTCTGGGTTTTTTTCATTAGAAACCCACCAAAAGCAAAATTTTAATTTTTCTGGGTTTTTTTCATTAGAAACCCACCAAAAGCAAAATTTTAATTTTTCTGGGTTTTTTTCATTAGAAACCCACCAAAAGCAAAATTTTAAATTTTCTGGGTTTTTTTCATTAGAAACCCACCAAAAGCAAAATTTTAATTTTTCTGGGTTTTTTTCATTAGAAACCCACCAAAAGCAAAATTTTAATTTTTCTGGGTTTTTTTCATTAGAAACCCACCAAAAGCAAAATTTTAATTTTTCTGGGTTTTTTTCATTAGAAACCCACCAAAAGCAAAATTTTAATTTTTCTGGGTTTTTTCATTAGAAACCCACCAAAAGCAAAATTTTAATTTTTCTGGGGTTTTTTCATTAGAAACCCACCAAAAGCAAAATTTTAATTTTTCTGGGTTTTTTTCATTAGAAACCCACCAAAAGCAAAATTTTAATTTTTCTGGGTTTTTTCATTAGAAACCCACCAAAAGCAAAATTTTAATTTTTCTGGGTTTTTTTCATTAGAAACCCACCAAAAGCAAAATTTTAATTTTTCTGGGTTTTTTTTCATTAGAAACCCACCAAAAGCAAAATTTTAATTTTTCTGGGTTTTTTTCATTAGAAACCCACCAAAAGCAAAATTTTAATTTTTCTGGGTTTTTTTCATTAGAAACCCACCAAAAGCAAAATTTTAAATTTTCTGGGTTTTTTTCATTAGAAACCCACCAAAAGCAAAATTTTAATTTTTCTGGGTTTTTTTCATTAGAAACCCACCAAAAGCAAAATTTTAATTTTTCTGGGTTTTTTTCATTAGAAACCCACCAAAAGCAAAATTTTAATTTTTCTGGGTTTTTTTCATTAGAAACCCACCAAAAGCAAAATTTTAATTTTTCTGGGTTTTTTTTCATTAGAAACCCACCAAAAGCAAAATTTTAATTTTTTTGGGTTTTTTTCATTAGAAACCCACCAAAAGCAAAATTTTAATTTTTCTGGGTTTTTTTCATTAGAAACCCACCAAAAGCAAAATTTTAATTTTTCTGGGTTTTTTCATTAGAAACCCACCAAAAGCAAAATTTTAATTTTTCTGGGTTTTTTCATTAGAAACCCACCAAAAGCAAAATTTTAATTTTTCTGGGTTTTTTCATTAGAAACCCACCAAAAGCAACGTGACCGGGAGAAATGAACATTTCTAAATAAATTTCACCTTACGGGATTTTAATGAGAGGGCGAATTTCTTACCTGTTGAAAAACCTAAAAAACTAACAATTTTTTAGACTTATATTTACATATCATTTTACTTGTTATAACTCTCCAGAAATCTTGTCAATTTTCACCACCCAATTTTAATTGTTTTGGTTACTTCTCCCCATTTTGTCTTAATTTTTTCTCAAAGAACCGCAACATGAATACAATAAAATGCTTATTTGAAAAACATCGAGTTCTTTTGGCATTCAGGATTGAAATGTCCAAATTCATTCAAAAAATAGTGATGAAAAGACCACCATGCCAGTTAACTGGGTGGTCTCTTTCATCTTTTACTGGAAGTCAATGCATATTTTTCCATGTAATTGAAAACAAACCCCCTGTTAACGTTTTCTAGCACAAGAATCTGATGTTCATTTTCATTGAATTTTTTATTAAAATTTTTTCTTCTTTTTATTCTCTCTGTTAAAAATAATTGAATATCAATCAAATTGACAGTTTTTTCAAAATTTTCATCATGTTCAAACAATTTTTCAAATTTTTTTGTACTTTGAAATCGATCTGCTCTATTTGTCTGAAAATTCTTCTTAAAATCAATCTCTTAATCAAATATTTCTCTGATTTCCAACTGTATTCAAATAGAAAATTATCAATGTTTTGTTTCTTATTTTTTCTCTTGTCACAATCATTGTCTTTCTTTCTCTAACACCCTCCTCCTCCTCTTTCTCTCTCATTTTTCTGTCTTCTCCTTCTATTGGCTTGGGGCAAGGCATTATTTCCCTCCCATGTTTCTCATCAGTTTTTTCTTGTTTTTTTTTTGCTTTGCTCTTGATTATCAGCTAATTTCGCGACACTTTGGTTCATATCTGCATCAGCATCAAGTTGTTTGAAGGTTTTCTAGAATCTAGGACTTTTCGTAATTTCACTCACAAGTGAAAATTTTTGAAAATAGCAAATTTTATGTTTATTTTGTATTTTTCCTACTTCACACTGTCATTTTTTTAACCAGGAAACGAATTTTTGAATTGAAATTCGATTTTTATGTCTGAATCCACCTTTGAAATCAATCCTGTCAAAACTATTTTTCCCTTCCCCGTTTTTGTATTTGATATTTTCCTCTCGTTTTCGGCTCTTTCAACAAAATACTGATTGAATTTCAGCATGCCGGACCATTTTCATCGCCAAGTGCGACGCGATTTGTCGAATTGGAAAAAGGAACGGGACGATGAGGCATTGGTTCGGGAGCAAAAATTGAGGGCGATGGAAGGCGGAGCAAAACAATCGGCTGTGAGTTTTTTTGGGATCATTGAAATCTTCACTACTAAATGTTTTGATAGACAAAATAGGGTATCTCAAGATTTTTGAGAAATGTCTGTGTGTGCGCGCGGTCGCGATGCGGTCGAAATAAAATCAATTTTTTCATTTTTTTTTTATTTTATTTCGACCGCATTGCGACCGCGCACACACACCGACATTCATTAGTTTTCGAAATAATTATGAGGGACTAGCTTTTCCTCTGCCACATTTTTTAAAATTCCACAATACTTTCTTGAGATTTTGAGCATCATTTTCAAGGAGAAAAATGTGTTTCTGATTATTTTTTTTCAGCGCGCCCCTATTCCAACATCCAGCGAGCCGATTGCCTGTAGGACTCGTTCTGAGTCCTACAGGCTTTTTCTTTGGGAGCGATACTGCACTTAAGTAAGTTCATTTTTTGTTTAAAAATCAGATGTTTAATAATAACTAACATTTTTCAGTGTGCAGTATCGCTTCCTTTGGTGCCCCCTCTTTCATCGCCGCCGTTCACCCGTCCCCCGCCGCCAACTCCAATTTATTTGTCTGGCCATCGCCCTTTTCATCAACTGGTTCTTCCACATTCTTCATCTCCCCCATCTATTGCTCACCAGCCAGTTATCAATCCCTCATTTTTGTCCTTGTGATATAATGAAACCTGAATAAACAGTTTTTATCTAAAAATGTTGTTAACTTCGAAAATAATGCATTGTGATTGAGAGTTTGTCAGAATTTCTTCTCGTTCAAAAAAGATCAATTCGTTGATCTTTTTCAGACTTCCGCTGATTTTCTTTCTGGTTTTTTTTGTTGATATTTTTATTTGAGATATTCCCATTTATGTGAAATAGAGGGAATTTTGTGTGCTTGAGAATTTTATTTGGGAAGACAGCCTTCTGAAGCCATTTGAAGCTTTTTGAAGCCTCTGAAATCAAAGTTTTTCATTTTGTCTTCGTTCGCCCATTCATTTTTCACCATTTCACTTATTTTCGCTCACAAAATGCTTGATTTTCCTTACTTTTCTAGTTGATTTCCACTTGATTTTTCCGCTTTTTTTTTGGTTATGACTGATAGTTTATTGGCTATTCTGTTGACTTTTGAATGAATTGTGTTGTTCTAGACTTCAACTAATTTGTAGGTTGTATTCGAGATTTTCGAGGAATCCTATAAAACATTGTTTTTTCTCTCTTTTTTGTATTCTTCTCTTCATATTTCGCTCTCCGTTGTTTCTTTTATCAATTTTTAATTCAAAAACTGTTTCTGCAGGTTCGTGGATTTCGTCAATCGACAAATTGACTCGGCTCTTCGCCTCGCCATCTCGGAGACGAAGGTTAGTTTATTTTTTTTGAATTCTAGAAAAGTTGAATTTTTTCAACGAAAATCAAAATTTCGGTTTTTGTTGAATTTTTTGAATTTTCTCCACATATTCGGTTCATTTTTCCCTTCCAAAAGTATGATTTTTCATACTTTTGTAGATGATTTCCATTGTTTTTCGTGCATTTTTGTTCCTCTTTTCTCTTTTTGTGTGCACACAAAATGCGCCAACGCGGTTTATCTGTTGAACCATTTGTTTTTCTCTAATAAACCAATTTTTTTTGAAAAAAATGTTTTTTCTTTGTTGAAATAATTCGGAAAACTTCAGAAAGTTACAGAAGGCTTTCAGAGGCCTTAAAAAAAGTCAGAGGCTTCAAAAAGTCTCAAAAGACTTTGAAAAACTTGAGAAAAATTGTGGAGGCCTCGGAAAACTTCAGAGAGCTACAGAAGGCTTGTTTTTTTTAACAGTGTTAAAAAAAGAAATTTTCTAGAGCTTCGCTTTTTAATTTCATTTGTTTGTTGAATTTTTTCAACGAAAATTAGAATTTCGGTTTTTGTTGAATTTTTTGAAATTTCTGAAAAAACACCCGCCCCAATGAAAATTTCGATTTGAGCGGGTAGCTGACAAAAATTCAAAAATTTTGATTTTCGTCTATACGGTCAACAAAAAAAGTTACAGATTTGGAATAATCCAAAAATGTAAAAATGAAGTCGATGAGTTGGGACCTAAATGACACTTCCTCTCTGGCTTAGGCTTAGTAAATCACCTAGAAGTAACAGTAAAGTCGGGAAAATGTTCTGTCAATTTTTCTGTTTTTAACAGTGTTAAAAATTCTGATTACCTTAGCCTCAGGCGCAGGCTGAGCGGAGCTCTAGAAAATTTCTTTTTTTCAACACTGTTAAAAAAAAACAAGAAAAATTTTTTTTTTGAAAAATTGTTCGATGACGTCATGGAAAAATTAGAAACCGTTCCTGATTTTGCCACGAGTCATTTTTTGAACGAAAAACTTGAAATTTTCTATAAATTTGTCTCCAAACCGAAATTTCTGTTTGGAGACGGTCATGTCTTCAAACGAAAATTTCATTTTTTTTTGAATTTTTTCAACGAAAATCAAAATTTCGGTTTTTGTTGACGTCATCGAACAATTTTTCAAAAAAAAAGTTTTTCTTGGTTTTTTTACTGTTAAAAAAAACAAATCCTGATTTTGCCACGAGTCATTTTTCTATCAAAAAACTTGAAATTTTTGTTGAATTCAATTGTAATTCGTGTGATTGACCTCTTTTTTTAAATAATGTGTCACAAATCACGGAAAACAGGGAAAAAATGATGGATTGTGTTTTTTACCAGTAAAATATTGCGATAAAATATTTTACTGTTTCAAAACAACAAAAAAACTATTTTTTTTGTCAAAATCAATGCGTTTCAATTAAAAATCGTATTATAACTCTCCGAAAAGGCTGACTATAGATACATTGGAATATGGTACAAGGCATAGTTTTTGACGCTGAAAAGTTTGAATCCGCCCGGAATTTTTGAAAATGAAGCCCATTTTTCAAATTTTTCTGAACAAAAAATTAGAGGGTCCCGAAATCAGGGAACAAAGCCTTGTCTTGCAAAATCCCTTTGGGGTTTTTCTTACTTTTGGATATGGACAAAAGTCCACCTAGTCACAGCTCGAATCACTGTATCACTAGATCGATCATTCCTTGTAAGAAGACTTCAGAAAGCTTCAGAAGGTTCTCAAAGGCTTCGAAAAAATCCAGTAGTTTTTAGAAGACTTGAGAAGGTTTTTGAGAAGCTCAAGAAAAATTGTGGAGGCATCAGAAAGCTTCCGAAGGCTTCAGAAGGCATCAGAAAACATTAGAAAGTTTCAGAAGGTTTTGGAAGGCTTCAGAAAGCTTCAGAAAGTTTCAGAACGTTTTCAGAAATTTTTGAAGGTTTTGGAAGGCTTCAGAGGGCTTCAGAAAACATTAGAAAGTTTTAGAAGGCTTCAGAAGGTTTTGGAAGGCTTCAGAAGGATTCATAGAGCATGACTTTGCCTTGATTTTGAAAATTTTTGAATTGAACAATTTTGACCAGATATTCATTATATTTTTTTTATTCATAAAAAAACATCTCATGTCGAGGAAATATAAAAAGTTTTCATTTCACAAAAAAAAACACAAATTTCAAAATGACTAGTCATATCCTATTTTTCACAATTTTATTTGTGTTTTCTAGTAGTTTGATTCTAGCTTCTATCCCCGAATTCTATTTCAATGCTGGCGAAAATGCAACAATCAGTATTGGAGATTCGAAAGAGCTCATGAGATCTGTTGGAAGCGCTGGAGGAATTCAAGTTTATCGAGTTTGTGATGGGAAAAATGCAAAGACTTGTGGATATTGGGAAGATACAAAGGTTAGTTGGCCTAACTTTAACATCAATTAACTCTAGAAATCTCGGATTTTCAGACCAAGAAAAAAGTGGCAAATGCTCCAGTGACCAAAAAAGTTGGGCAAAATTTGATTCTTGAAAAAGTGACAGATGAGGATTCTGGAAGCTACTATAATGATGGTGATATTTACTTCCGCGTTCAGGTATTCAATTCGGTCGTGCAAGGAAAATAATTAATCAACTAATTATTTTAATTCTAATTTGTGAAATAAAAATCTAGTTGTTTTAATCTTGGAGCCGTTCCCCAAGCTTCTGTGAAAATAACGAATCATGTTTGAGAAGTTCGACAATCTGAAAATCGATATTTTGAAGAAGCAAATTTCAATATTCATGTTACATTTCAATAATTGTTATTTTTGACAAGAAATTTTCCTAATTTGAAGTTGAACTTCATAGAATTTTTACAATATATTTTTGAATCCTGTGAAACATCGATACATTTTGAATTTCCCAACATTTTCATCTTCCAAAATTTTTTTTTCTTGTAATTCTCACAATTATTTTTCAAACATTTCAAGGTATTGCGAAATCGCAAAAAATTTCGTTGCTTAATTAGAAGCAGGTGGAGTGTTGTTTGAAAACCACAATTTTGCAATTTTTTTTCTCAAGGAGAAAATTTATAAAATTAGAGGTTTCTTAATGTAAAATAGCTTTTTCTAGATAATAAATATTTTGAAAAAAAAGAAAAATAAAGGGGGATCGAACTTTGGTTTGGCGTACAATATGCATCGATGCATACCACTCGGCCAAGACGCTTTTATTTACCAAAGTCAAAATGTTGAATATAAAATGCGCATTGATAAAAATGGATAGTTATTAGGCCCCGCCCACTCTGCATGCAAAAAATAGAGAGGCGCGCTGCCTGTTAGTTGTCGGTGGGCGCAAATGAATAAGAGGAGACGGTTGGTTTCAATTGTTGATTTATAGTAGGAAACATGAATAAAAAAATAAAGAGATAAAAGTGGATACAAGAGAGATTTTGTATTACACTAATCTTTTTTGTTACCTTTAACACGGTGGCAAAAAGATTATTGTAGTATAAAATCTTTCTTGTATTCATGAGAAGAGGGGAAATCTAACAATTTTTTTTTGAGATTTGAAAAAGTTATTGTCGAGAAAAAGTTCTTTGGAAACTACAACTGCAAGTTTGACCCCTAGATAAATCTGGAATTAAAAACGCGATCTTACATTTTTATTTTTGGCAAGACATTTTCCTGATTTGAAGTTGAAATTTTTCGAATTCTGTGAAAAATCAATACATTTTGGTTTCCCTAACCTTTTTATCTTTCAAAAATCTTAATATTTTCTCTTCTAATTCCGAATTTCCCCATTCCTTTTCAAAATTTTCAAGGTATTGCGAAATCGTAAAAAAATTCATTGCTAAAATAGAAGCATGCGGAGTGTTGTTTGAAAACCACAATTTTGCAATTTTTGTTTTCTCGAGGAGGAAATTGATAAAATAAGAGGTTTCTTTGAAAAATTGTGTGGTTTGGGGAAAAATTGAATTTCAAACACTTTTGCCAAAAGTGATTTGAAACTTGAATTTTGTTCCGAAAAATATGAAGGTGCTATCCAATTTATTTAATTTTAGAAAACATTTTTCAACATTTCTAATGAAACTGTAATAAATTTTCCTGTCAGAAGCGAAAATCAAAATTTCTAAAATTTTCATGTTTTTTTTTTCAAAATTTATCCATCAAAAACTTCTTCATAACATACAGAATTATCGCTTTTTTGTTGAAATCGCGTTTGAGAAGATCGGTAATCTGAAGAAAAAAACAAGAGAAACTAAATCCTGGAGCCAGCTCTCAAGCTGATGTGTAAGACGAATCGTGTTTGAGAAGATCGAAAATCTGAAAATCATTTTTTTGAAGAAGAAAATTTAAATATTCATATTATTTTTTGATGCCAATTGTTATTTCAAAAATCAGAAGTTTGATCATAGAATTATTTTCATTTTTGGCAAGAACTTATCCTGATTTGAAGTTGAACTTCATACAATTTTTTGTTCTTCAATAATTTTTTGAATCCTGAGAAAAATGAATACATTCTAGTTTCGCTAACCTTTTCATTTTTAAAAATTCGTTATATTTTCTCTTCTAATTCCGAATCCCCATTCCTTTTCAAAATTTTCAAGGCATTGCGAAATCGCAAAAAATTTCGTTGCTAAAGTAGAAGCATGCGGAGTGTTGTTTGAAAACCACAATTTTACAATTTTTTTCTTAAGGAGAAAATAGATAAAATTAGAAGTTTCTTAATGTAAAATAGCTGTTTCTAGATAATAAATATTTTGAAAAAAAAGAAGATAACGAGGGGGATCGAACTTTGGTTTTGTGTACAATATGCATCCATGCATACCACTCGGCCAAGACGCTTTTATTGACCAAAGTCAAAATGTTGAATATAAAATGCGCATTGAAAAAAATGGAGAATTATTAAGCCCCGCCCACTTTGCATGCAAAAAATAGAGAGGCGCGCTGCCTGTTAGTTGTCGGTGCGCGCAAATGAATAAGAGGAGACGGTTGGTTTCAATTGTTGATTTATAGTAGAAAACGTGAATAAAAAAATAAAGAGAAATAAAGTGGATACAAGAGAGATTTTGTATTACACTAATCTTTTTTGTTACCTTTAACACGGTGGCAAAAAGATTATTGTAGTATAAAATCTTTCTTGTATTCATGAGAAGAGGGGAAATCTAACAATTTTTTTTGAGATTTGAAAAGGTAAATTGTGTCTTCGAAAACTTCAACTGCAAGTTTGACCCCTAGATGAATCTGGAACTAAAAACTCGATATTACATTTGTAATTTTGGCAAAAACTTATCCTAATTTGAAGTTGAATTTCATAGAATTTTTGCAATAATTTTTTGAATCCTGTGAAAAATCAATACATTTTCGTTTCGCTAACATTTTCATCTTTCAAAAATCTTAAGATTTTCTCTTCTAATTCCGAATCTCCCAATTCTTTTTCAAAAATTTTCAAGGTATTGCGAAATCGCAAAAAATTGCATTGCTAAAGTAAAAGCATGGGGAGTGTTGTTTGAAAACCAAAATTTTGCAATTTTTGTTTTCTCAAGGAGGAAATTGATAAAATTAGAGGTTTCTTTGAAAAATTGTGTGGTTTGGGGAAAAATTGGATTTCAATCACTTTTGCCAAGAGTCATTTGAAATTTGAATTTTTTTTTGAATTTTTGAAGACTTTTTTCAGAATTTCCAAATTGAGAAAGTTGCTAAAAATATGGTTCAATTGTGAAATGAAAGTGCGATTTTCAAAAAAAAACAATGAAAAAATTCAAGAGATTCATAAAATTCTTTAGAAAACAGTGGAATTTTTCATTGAAAATTATCAAGAAGCTAAATATTTTTAGATGAAGACCACCCACGAAGCTTCTGCATTCCGTGTTTCCTGAAAATTGTTACCCTTTTCCAATCCAATCATAAAATTGTCCTTGTACCAGCTTTTCATATTCAAAAAATTCAAATCATTTCTCAGTTCACATGAAAAAGTTCAAACACCTGTCGTTTCTTTTTTTTGTTAAGAATCCCAATTAGTAAAAATTTCTTATTCAAAAAAAATTATTTTCGAAATTTTTCGAAAATTTTTTGCAAGCACTCTTCAAATTATACTATTTTTTGTTCAAACTTTTTCTTGGAAAATTTTCCAGTTTTACAAATTCATGATTTTCGAGCTAAAATTTTATGACTTGAATAAGATTTGAAAAAAAAATTGTTTATACAAGAAAAAAGCGCACCATTACTCATATCATCTTTCATTCCCTCCCTGCTAGAAAAAAAGAACACACAGACAGACCGACACACAAAATTGTCTCCTCCCTCTTTCTTTTTCACACCATTATGTTTTTCTTGGTCATTTTTTTTTCGCTACTTATTTATTTGATGTGATGATATTGCGAAATTTTTCGATTTTTCTTCGGCCCAAAATCTTTCGGGAAAAATTTTTGAACAATAATTTTCAAGCTAACCAGCATTTTTCTGATTTTTTTATCCATTAAACTTTTGATTTTTCTTGACCCAATAATTTTGGAATTTTGTAGAAGATTTTGGAATGAAAAATTGTTAAAGCTTTTTTTGAAATCGAAAATTCTAAAAATTATTTCAGGCCATAAATTTTTCAGATTGTTAATGGTATTTTTTTCCAAAATGAAATACATATTCTTTTTTTCTCAGTTTATAGGTTTCTAATCAAAGAAGTAAATCAATGAATTGAAATTTTCTGGCTCAAAAATTTTGAATTCGAAGTTTTATTTTGATTACAAATGAAATTTCAAGATTTTTTTGGCTAATATGAGCCATTCCAAAATTTTTCTCAATTTAAATTCAAACAACTTCTCACATTAAAAAAAGTTCAAACACCTGCTACTTTCAAAATTTTTGAATAACAAAAGACTCACTAATTTTTCTGCATTCAAGGTTGTTTAAAAAAAAATTATGTCTGTCTCTTTTTATTTGTTAGGAATCCCAATTAGCACAAAAATTTCAAGGTTTTCTTGAGCTTCAAAGGCTTCTTTCCTCAATAGTACATATTTTTTTTTCAAATAATTCTCATATCAACTCAAATTTCCTGTCTAACGTGAAGATAGCTTTGTATATAATATATATACAAAAATATGCCAGAAAATAGTTTATACAAGAAAAAGTGCACCATTAGTCATATCATCTTTCCCTCCCTCGCTGTTAGAAAAAAAAGAACACACAGACAGACCGACACACAAAATTGTCCTCCTCCCTCTTTTTTTCACACCATTATGTTTTTCTTGGTCATTTTTTTCGGCTACTTATTTATCGTATGTCTGTGATTTATTGCGAAATTTTTTGATTTTTCTTTGGCCTCAAATTGTTCTCACTGTAAAACAGTATTTTTTGGAAAAACATTTTGACAGTGCTTTTGAATATTTATATTAAGTTTAGCAACTAGCCAGAATTTTTCTGAATTTTCAATCTACAAATGGCACGATTATAAATACAATAATTTTGAAAAAAAAATTCTGAATCTAATTTGCAGTTCTATAAAAAATGTGAATTCAAAATCAATGAATATTTTCTCTAATAGTTTCAGTATTTAATCTCATCATTTCACAATATTTTAAAATTTTTCGAAAAAAAATCGATTTCTTTTTTTTTCAAAAATTCTGCCATTCGACATTTTTTCTTAC